ATAGCTTAATGTTCTTAAAAAATATTATTTCAAAATCCATGCATATAGCTCTGATGTCCTGCAAAATATTCTTTAAATTTCACGTCTCTAGCTTGAAGTTGTTCTGAAAAAAAATTTATAAAAATCCACGCGCATAGCTCTAAAGGTCTTCCTAAAAATAGTCTTTAGAAACCCACGACTAGAGCCTCAAATTTTTAATCGACGATTATCGATATCGATGCCCCTTGAAAAATTTTAATATAAACGTAATCCATGTCCTTCTTATCAATTGCATATTATTACCCTGAATTTTTATCAATATTATGACAGTCGCCATATCAGAATTCTTTGAACTAAAACAAATATTGCCGATCGATCAAGGATATTAGTATTCTCAAATTTCTCCACTCTTGACTAACAAAATACAAAAACTATGAAAACAAATTCCGAAAAATATGCCAAAGGATACATTGGTGGCCCACTGAATGGATGGATGTATATCTGTTGAAGTGGTTACACAAAATTTATTATCCTCGACTGTAACAACAAACATCGACAAGTTATGTTTTGTCGATGATTCCTTCGAAGATAAATCGATGGAAAATATGAATGAATATTTTTTGTTGGGTGGCATCGAGCGATTTGTTTACAAAACATAAATCAGGCATCGTCGGTCCTTGTAAATGAAATCAATGTTATTCTCATTTGTATGTGTACACCCTCGTCCTTGCGCGATTTGAGCTAGGGGCGGGCGGTGAAGGGGATTCTGTGACAATTGGAATTGTGTCGAGTGGATGGATGTTCCCCGTTGTGTTGACGGTTAAACATTTTGAAATGTCGCAGTGCCACTGTCAAAAGGATATCACTTGTGTGTGCGCCTCTCTCGCTCACACACACTCCCACCTTACATACTCACATTCCCTTGAAGGTGAATAAATATTGTAATGCGGTAGGTAGTTTTCACGCTTAAATGTTATCCACCGCCTTCGAGTGTTTGGTTATGGGCATGGAATGTCACTTTGTCATTTTTGTTTTTACAAATCTAAACAAACGAGCCGAAAGTGTCATATTTCGGAGGCAATTCATTCACTTTTTTCGAATCTTCAATGATGTTTGGCATTTAGTTTTTAGACTAAACATTGGTTTTTTGATGTCTAGGCTAGATGTAACCACTTGAGATCGATTTTTTGTGATTTTTGTCAGGGATAACGTGTAGAATATCTAGGGATGGGTCTGATATCTAACACAAATATATGTTTGACTTATCGATTATGATCATGAATTTGTAGCGATGTGTGTGTGAGAGTGTAATCACTTTCACAGAGTTATATATACGAAAAATAATAAAAACTATTTTTTTTTTTCAAATGACATGCGTGGATTTTGAAAGAATGTTTTATCAAACTTCATCAGAGCAATAGGCGTGGATTTTTAAAGAATATTTTTTAGAAGACCATCAGAGCAATAGGCGTGGATTTTTAAAGAATATTTTTTAGAAGACCATCAGAGCAATAGGCGTGGATTTTTAAAGAATATTTTTAGAAGACCATCAGAGCAATAGGCGTAGATTTTTAAAGAATATTTTTTAGAAGACCATCAGAGCAATAGGCGTGGATTTTTAAAGAATATTTTTTAGAAGACCATCAGAGCAATAGGCGTGGATTTTTAAAGAATATTTTTTAGAAGACCATCAGAGCAATAGGCGTGGATTTTTAAAGAATATTTTTAGAAGACCATCAGAGCAATAGGCGTAGATTTTTAAAGTATATTTTTTAGAAGACCATCAGAGCAATAGGCGTGGATTTTTAAAGAATATTTTTTAGAAGACCATCAGAGCAATAGGCGTGGATTTTTAAAGAATATTTTTTAGAAGACCATCAGAGCAATAGGCGTGGATTTTTAAAGAATATTTTTAGAAGACCATCAGAGCAATAGGCGTAGATTTTTAAAGAATATTTTTTAGAAGACCATCAGAGCAATAGGCGTGGATTTTTAAAGAATATTTTTTAGAAGACCATCAGAGCAATAGGCGTGGATTTTTAAAGAATATTTTTTAGAAGACCATCAGAGCAATAGGCGTAGATTTTTAAAGAATATTTTTTAGAGACCATCAGAGCAATAGGCGTGGATTTTTAAAGAATATTTTTTAGAAGACCATCAGAGCAATAGGCGTAGATTTTTAAAGAATATTTTTTAGAAGACCATCAGAGCAATAGGCGTAGATTTTTAAAGAATATTTTTTAGAAGACCATCAGAGCAATAGGCGTAGATTTTTAAAGAATATTTTTTAGAAGACCATCAGAGCAATAGGCGTAGATTTTTAAAGAATATTTTTTAGAAGACCATCAGAATATTTTTTAGAAGACCAAAGGTTTGTTTTTTCAATCCCCTCATGTATACACATAATATTCCCTCCAACATCTGGTATTACGTACAGTGTTGCTATGTTTATTACACATTCTATTTTATGGGTTCTCTGCATTGCACCACCACCATTCCACTCCAAGTGGTTTCCCTTAAATGATCTTTGATGTTAGGAAGTCAAGCATACACCCACCCACTGCATTTTGTTTATAATTTTGGTTTAGTATAAATCCACAAATGTGCGTTTAAATTTCATAGAGCCAGTCAGGAGGACAGACAGACACGAGTCAGACATAACCCATCCCTAAAAAACCAAACATGTAAACATCTCAAGTGGTTTACGTATTTTATTGGTTTTCCCTTTCAGGCGCTGTGCTTTTTTTTTCAACTCAGTCATGCGTTCAGCGAACGATTTTCTATGCTCCGCCTCCTGTTACAAATATAAAAAATGCTGACATTGTATTGAAAGTAAAACAAATTCCTTTGATGGGGGTTAATCGTGTTATTTGGGGGAATGTGGCACGCGATACCTAATTTTGTTACAAAAAGATGGGGAATGTGCTGTTGTTACATTGTGAAATGTAAAACAGGTCGATTCTGTTTTAAATCTGTCAATACCTTGGTAAAATAATGGGATGTTCCAATTTTAAGATCTTTTAAAAAATAAAAATAATCATGATTCTGAATGCACACTTTTGGTCTGAAGGTCCATGAAAAAATATTCTTTAAAAAATCCACGCTTATTGGTCTGAAGGTCCATGAAAAAATATTCTTTAAAAAATCCACGCTTATTGGTCTGAAGGTCCATGAAAAAATATTCTTTAAAAAATCCACGCTTATTGGTCTGAAGGTCCATGAAAAAATATTCTTTAAAAAATCCACGCTTATTGGTCTGAAGGTCCATGAAAAAATATTCTTTAAAAAATCCACGCTTATTGGTCTGAAGGTCCATGAAAAAATATTCTTTAAAAAATCCACGCTTATTGGTCTGAAGGTCCATGAAAAAATATTCTTTAAAAAATCCACGCTTATTGGTCTGAAGGTCCATGAAAAAATATTCTTTAAAAAATCCACGCTTATTGGTCTGAAGGTCCATGAAAAAATATTCTTTAAAAAATCCACGCTTATTGGTCTGAAGGTCCATGAAAAAATATTCTTTAAAAAATCCACGCTTATTGGTCTGAAGGTCCATGAAAAAATATTCTTTAAAAAATCCACGCTTATTGGTCTGAAGGTCCATGAAAAAATATTCTTTAAAAAATCCACGCTTATTGGTCTGAAGGTCCATGAAAAAATATTCTTTAAAAAATCCACGCTTATTGGTCTGAAGGTCCATGAAAAAATATTCTTTAAAAAATCCACGCTTATTGGTCTGAAGGTCCATGAAAAAATATTCTTTAAAAAATCCACGCTTATTGGTCTGAAGGTCCATGAAAAAATATTCTTTAAAAAATCCACGCTTATTGGTCTGAAGGTCCATGAAAAAATATTCTTTAAAAAATCCACGCTTATTGGTCTGAAGGTCCATGAAAAAATATTCTTTAAAAAATCCACGCTTATTGGTCTGAAGGTCCATGAAAAAATATTCTTTAAAAAATCCACGCTTATTGGTCTGAAGGTCCATGAAAAAATATTCTTTAAAAAATCCACGCTTATTGGTCTGAAGGTCCATGAAAAAATATTCTTTATAAAATCCACGCTTATTGAAGGTCCATGAAAAAATATTCTTTAAAAAATCCACGCTTATTGAAGGTCCATGAAAAAAATTTCTTTAAAAAATCCACACTTATTGAAGGTCCATGAAAAAATATTCTTTAAAAAATCCACGCTTATTGAAGGTCCATGAAAAAATATTCTTTAAAAAATCCACGCTTATTGGTCTGAAGATCCATGAAAAAATATTCTTTAAAAAATCCACGCTTATTGAAGGTCCATGAAAAAATATTCTTTAAAAAATCCACGCTTATTGAAGGTCCATGAAAAAATATTCTTTAAAAAATCCACGCTTATTGGTCTGAAGATCCATGAAAAAATATTCTTTAAAAAATCCACGCTTATTGAAGGTCCATGAAAAAATATTCTTTAAAAAATCCACGCTTATTGGTCTAAAGGTCCATGAAAAAATATTCTTTAAAAAATCCACGCTTATTGGTCTGAAGGTCCATGAAAAAATATTCTTTAAAAAATCCATGCTTATTGGTCTGAAGGTCCATGAAAAAATATTCCCTAAAAAATCCACGCTTATTTGTCTGAAGGTCCATGAAAAAATATTCTTTAAAAAATCCACGCTTATTGGTCTGAAGGTCCATGAAAAAATATTCTTTAAAAAATCCACGCTTATTGGTCTGAAGGTCCATGAAAAAATATTCTTTAAAAAATCCACGCTTATTGGTCTGAAGGTCCATGAAAAAATATTCTTTAAAAAATCCACGCTTATTGGTCTGAAGGTCCATGAAAAATATTCTTTAAAAATTTAAGCTTATTGCTCTGAAGGCCCATGAAAAAATATTCTTATTGACTTGAAAGTCTATGAAAAAAGTATTGCAAAAATCCAAGTAGAATTAACTTTTTAAAAAATGTATTTATTTTTAAGGTTATGTATAAAATAGAATAACGGAATATATAATTAATTTTTCATCGATTCTTCAGTCTCATCTCTAATCACTTGTTTGACAAATCAGGGCAGCACTACGTTTTACCCAATGTGATGGCTTGATTTTCGTATTCAAAAATACTGGTATAACATAATTCGTTGAATGACCGGTCGTCGATAGAGTTCCTTTACGTTCGGCAGTCTTATAGAGGGGACTTTTATAACGATTACCCTCCTTGAGGTCATAAATTGTGGTGGGGATGAGATAAATCGCCGGCATGGGATAGATTAAGACCTTTGGCAGCTGTTCATCTAAAATACGTTCTTGCCAATTCCATCGGGCACCCTCCAAAAACAGACCATTAATGTAGACACCATCATCCGGGGGTTGATCCCGATGATCCTCATCCAAAACCTGATGATCAAAAGTCAGTGTGTCAATGGGTATTTTATATTTGCGGGCATAATTTTGCATTGCCCCCGTGAGGAAAGCTTGGGTAAAAAAGAAACCGGATATCCAAAAGGTGGGGGGTTTGTTATTGTGGTGCCTGGAAATAGTCACACAAATTAGGGATATATCCTCTCTTAAAACTACTTCCACTTACCAATCATGCAACCAATTGAGTCGCTTAAACAAATCTTGTACATACGAAGCCAAGGGCTTTAAACTTGGATATGATTTCTTCATCCATTTGGTCGGTATGCGATTCAATTTAATTGAATTTATAACACCTTCCAGCTCAGGGGTCATAACTATTATTCCATGAACCGCTTGCTCAATATCCCTGCAGGATGCTCTAATTTCCAATTGCAACTTCAAAAACCTCTCCATTTCCTGGGTAATAACTGTGTTCATAGATTCATTATAATCCACCGGGTATTTCTTCTTAGCACCCTCCACATCCATATTGGCGGGCATTTTTGTGACAATTTCTTTCACCGTTTCCAATAGTTGTTGATCGGCATTTTGTGAACCTTCACCACCTGAGGTCACCTCACTACCCAATATCAAAATCATTGAATCCATCAATGTTTTGGTGGTTTGTAAATCCCTTGTAATGCCCGAATTGGCATGCAGACCATAAACTTCCGGTGCAGCCAAGCTGGGAAAATTCTCATCCACATAACGTAAAATTTCACGATGTTCTGTCTTGCGAGGCACAGTGAAGCTGTCATCGGTGGCAAATTTGTAGCGATTATCAGTTACAACTTCATGATTAACATAGTCGGCTAGTATGGTGACAATGGCACGACGATCCCAGGTATCTGTGACACGACCACCATAATTACACTCGGCAGTTAGGTAACCAATGGCATCATAGGGGACATGGTCATATTGATTTAGAAGCATCTGAAAAAATAAAATTAAAAATATAGTTCAGTAGGTCTTTTCTTTTAAATCTGGTTCAGAACTTTTAGAGCCCTTTCAAAAATTTATTGAGAAAATTCAGACTTATAACTATCCACGCATATTGTTCTGAAGATCAATGAAAAATATTCTTTAAAAATCCCTGCTTAAAGCTCGAAAGGTCCTTTAATAAATATTCTTTAAAAAATCCCCACTAAAAGCTCTGAAGGTTCTTTGGAAAATATTCTTTAAACAATCCCCGCTTAAAGCTCTGAAGGTCCTATGAAAAATATTCTTTAAAAAACCCCCGTTTAAAGCTCTGAAGGTCATATGAAAAATATTCTTTAAAAAACCCCCGCTTAAAGCTCTGAAGGTCCTATGAAAAATATTCTTTAAAAGACCCCCGCTTAAAGCTCTGAAGGTCCTATGAAAAATATTCTTTAAAAAACCCCACGCTTATGATCTGAAGGTCCTATGAAAAATATCCTTTAAAAAATCCACGCTTATGATCTGAAGGTCCCTTGAAAAATATTCTTTAAAAAATCCACGTTTATGATCTGAAGGTCCTATGAAAAATATTCTTTAAAAAACCCCCGCTTAAAGCTCTGAAGGTCCTATGAAAAATATTCTTTAAAAAATCCACGCTTATGATCTGAAGGTCCTATGAAAAATATTCTTTAAAAAATCCACGCTTATGATCTGAAAAATATTCTTTAAAAAATCCACGCTTATGATCTGAAAAATATTCTTTAAAAAATCCACGCTTATGATCTGAAAAATATTCTTTAAAAAATCCACGCTTATGATCTGAAAAATATTCTTTAAAAAATCCACGCTTATGATCTGAAGGTCCTATGAAAAATATTCTTTAAAAAATCCACGCTCATGATCTAAAGATCCTATGAAAAATATTCTTTAAAAAATCCACGCTTATGATCTGAAGGTCTTATGAAAAATATTCTTTAAAAAATCCACGCTTTTGATCTGATGGTCCTATGAAAAATATTTTTTAAAAAATCCATGCTTATGATCTGAAGGTCCTATGAAAAATATTTTTTAAAAAATCCACGCTTTTGATCTGATGGTCCTATGAAAAATATTCTTTAAAAAATCCACGCTTATGATCTGAAGGTCCCTTGAAAAATATTCTTTAAAAAATCCACGCTTATGATCTGAAGGTCCTATGAAAAATATTCTTTAAAAAATCCACGCTTATGATCTGAAGGTCCTATGAAAAATATTCTTTAAAAAATCCACGCTTATGATCTGAAGGTCCTATGAAAAATATTCTTTAAGAAATCCAAGCTTATCGATCTGAAGGTCCATTAAAAAATATTCCTGAAAAATCACGGTTATCAATCTGAAAGTCCATGAAAAAATATTCAGCTAGACCCTCAGAGATGGCTTCTATTCTACTTACACTCAATTGTAGCACCGATATCTGTAAATCGGACTCATTGAACCCATAGGATATATTCCAACCCAGGGGCCCATATTTACGCCTCTCCTGTACCACAGCATGAAAGAAGCAGATACCGAACAATAATCGTGTAAAGGCACGATCCTGCTTCCCCACACCCGTATAAAATGTAGGATCATTTATTGGCTCCGAATTATAAGAACGCATAATGTTCTCTTTCAAGCCCGTCGGAGGTTCATTTGTCATCTTGACACCATTCTGCAACAAGGCCACTGGGAATTGAGGTGTAGGGTAACTGGTCAGCCACAGGCGGAAGGAGGCTGGAAAAATATTTAAAATATAAAATCTATAGGTATGTGTGTATGCGTCCTACTCACGTGACGTATTGAACGTGTCCATATTCTCCCATAGATATTCCAATTTGGGCATCCATGATGCAGCCAGATGACAATTCTGCAGGCACACCCAGTGACCCATTTCCTGGGCATTTTTAATTAAATTCTGAGCAATCGGTCCCTGACCTTGACCCAACGAAATACTTTGGAAATTTTCGTCATGACCCATTTTTTCGGCAAAGGAGAGCAGCGATCCCAAAGGATCTGCTCCCGGTGATAGTATAAATATCAAAGGTGTCAATGCGGTAGATTCGATGTAGGATTTGCTAATATCAAAATCCGGAGGTGTTACAAATTGTGGACCAATTTCTGCGGCAATGAAATTCCTAATGGCCAAGAATACCTTATCCGGCCGTAGACATTTCAAAATTATGATTTTCTCAAAGCGGGTTGTGCGATTTTGCCAACCATCCGGTAGGGGTTGTAATTCCGGCTCGACATGATCATAAATTCGCTTCCAGGCAGAGGAATTTGTTCTAAATGAGCTAACAATTCCCTTGAGTTCAGGGAATTCCTCCAAACGCAGAACATTGGACCAAATATTTTCATTTATCCAAGTCGGATCAGGGTTGGCCTGTTGGCTGCCTGCAGTTTCCTTGGCCGTAGTTAGGAGATGTGATAAGTGACGCATCTGAATTTGATTGTTACCGAGAAGAATCCGCGTACACAATATAAAGGAGAACAGCAGTTTATCCTTTTCGAAAATGGAACGGCAAACAGTGTTGTAGAGATTTTTACTAACCGCATCGACCAGGAACTTGATGCGTCGAGGTAAATCTTTGGATTTATTTGCGGTCTCTATGGAATAGACATAGAGATTGATGTACCAACTCAACGAAAATTGATACATGGGATCGATGTTGGGAAGATCGGTAATGGAATAATAGAGTATGGACGAATGTATTGCCACTGGCTTATAGTTCAAACGGAAGGCCTCAATTTTGGCAGTTGTTTCGACGGAGGCTTCCTGCTTCGCCGCAATATCGGTGGAGAGGGTCTGAGATTCCCCCAGAATTTGTATGGCTCCCTCATTTTCCAAAATATCCCCCTCCGAACAGGTCAACGTTTTCAAAATCATATTTTCCGCATCAATGAGGGCCGACTTATTTTTAGCTGCCTCAGCTGTTAGGGTCATTCGTAGCTCCTGTAAATCTGGTCTCTCCTTGGCCACCACAATACTTAGCAGCTGATCTTCCAGGGCATTTTGTGTCAGAGCAAAATTTATGATCGTCACCTTATTAAAGGTTTCGGGTAAAAAGTGAGGATTCCTTAAGTTGCAGGTCATATAGAGCCGAAAATTCGGATGCAAGGGGACGATGTTATCACCCAGACTGATATACTTTTGACCACCTTGCACGAAAGTCTTTTTCAATAATATAGGGTCCAATGGGACCTCCAGTTCTTCCAGGATATTTTCAATAATTACCGGATACCCGTACTCCATGGCTTCGGCAATGATTTTCATATAATTGGCTTGATTGAATTTCACACAACTCAGACGATTTTTTCGTTCCATATTTTTCAACCAATAATTTGCCTGACCCTGAGGATCAATGAAAAGACTGTAGCGACTTGAATTTGCCGATATAATGGCATTTTCGGTGGAGAAAATATCATTCGGCAGGCCATTGATATTCCAATTTTGTATTTGTATTTCCACCCCGAGGGCTTTGAGTATGTTGTAGCCCTCCGAAACGGGTATCTCCTTGTCCACACACTTTTCATACCAGTCCTGCACACAATTGGTTCGAAATTTATAATTCATGGCCGAGAGATAGGCGATAATACCACATGAAAGTAAAATATCTCCCGGTAAATGGTCATACAAAATCTGCAAATCATCGGCAGCCTTGGTCCATCGCGACTTCTCACCACCCAACCCATCAATTAAGGATTTTGCCCGTGTCAATTTATCCTGACATAGATCTGCCTCATCTTGGGTCCTTTTCATTTCCATATTGGCCTTTTCCAGGTCCTCATTTAACTTGGCCACCTTGGCCTCCAACATGGCGGTCAATTCTCGCTTCTCATTCAAAAAGGTCATGGTGTCGGCATATTCTTTTTCGGCCGCTGCCAATTTCGCCTTTTTCGGAGCCACAATTTTCGCCACATGATCATACAAATCCATGGCAATTATCCATTGACACAGACCCTTGGCAGCACTCGAAGCCTTGGCCACAATACTTGGATTGAAGTCCTTGTGTGGTATAAAATCTTTGCGTATCTTTTTCATAATATCCGGATTAATATTGTCCTTATCAAAATCTTTCAGGGACTGAAGGAAATTTAAATCTCCCAGGATACGTTTACTGGGGCCCCAATAATCGTTAACCATTTTCCCTGTGGCAGGATCAGCAATGCGATCTGAGGGTATACCCTTAATGACACATACAGCAGCCATAACCAATTTGATAACCGAGGGTGGATTTTTCATTGATTTGACCAGGGTAATATCGGTGGGTTTTAGGGTATTCAACGCCTGTAGAGCTTCTTCGAGCACGGGAATGGCCTGGGCCAAATCTTTTTCACATTCATTTTTCAGATCCTGGGCCGCTTCAGCCTGTATGGAGGCCACCACCTCATCCTTTTTCACCTGTTCTGCAGCAGCCTGGGCCGCAATGGTCTCCTTGTTAATTTCCAACATCATTTTCCGCGAATTCTCTGCCATATCTAATAGCTTCGGTTGCAAGGCATTCAGTTCTTTTTGCATTACCGCAATGGCTTCCGCTGCACTGGCCAGGGTATCTAAACCTCCAATATAACGCAATTTCGAATCCATAACCTCTTTCTGTTTTCGTTCCATGACGGTTTGGAAGGATTGTATCAATTCGAGGAATGAGGCATTGGTGAGATAAATATGCCTTCCGGTTATCTCACAGAAGTTCTGTGACACCTTACCCGCCGTGGTATGGAAATATTGACATGTCTCCACAATGGCCTGTTTCATGTTGTCCGTAGGCACCCTTACATTTTCCAGCGAGATTTTGGCAATCATTTGCAAGGCCTCCTCCGGCCAACTTTGATACCAATCTATGGTACAACAATTCACCAGGGAGGGATATAATCTTACCCTTGTTCTCAAACTATCCCCAATAGGGGAGAGGCACAAAATTATGTGCAGCTTCCGTTTGCAGCGATTTACAAAAAATGAAAACACCTGTAGAGGTGAGATATCAATATTCCGATTGCCACCCTGGGCCGCCAGACGCACCATTTCCAAGATCTCCTGTTTCTCATCAATGGCATAAATATTCGGAACCTCTCCCTGATTCAGCAGACAATCGATGTCTTGTAAAAATAATTCCATTTTGATTTGATTCTCAGTCATCAAGAATGCGGTATGTTTATCCATACCACCCGCCTCCTTCAGAACACTTTTCAAATCATCATGCCAATCATTGGGACCATAATTTTTGGTAATTTCCGGTTGGAAAAATGATGTCTGTACCATATTTGTGGCTAATTTGGTTAGAGACTGTCGTCCCGAACCTCCCAAGCCTATTAGCAAGGCACTGGCCCCGCTGATAGATAAAATACGACAAATCCGATTCAAATGTTGCAGGGCAAAGGTGAACAGTATGATATCCATTTTGGATCTTCGTGTAGAATTATAATCCTCCAAACTGCTCGAAGCAAATTTGTACAGACTCTCAATATTGGCCACCTCTTCATAGCGCCGCTCATCCGCCACCGAATCTTCATCAAAGTACACACCAAAAAAGATGAGATTCGCCCCATCCATAGTGAAAATCCGATCACCTGTCTGTAACTCGGTGTGATATTGTTCCAAAGCCACATCCAACTTCTCCTTGAAATGCAATCGAATGCAGTCATTCAACTTCTGGAACATCCAACGCCGATCATCATCATCAATTAGCCGATCATAAAATATCCTCATGGCCTCATGATACCATAGGCGTATAAACATCTTCTTATCACTCACGGACTCTTTGCGTAACAAAGAACATCCCGTCACTACGCGGGCTATATCACGCAAATTGAAAATATAATGACTCTTGGCCGGGGTGGCCCGCATTTCGGTCTGGACCAATTTATAAATATGCTGAGTAGCCGAGACGATGGCATTGGCCATGCCAAAAACATCACTACCATGACCAGTTTTTCTTAGACCATTCAGAAGGACATTAACAAAAATCCGATTCATCGTCTCATCACTAAAGGTATCAATCGAAAAGATATTGAAATGATTGAGAAAGCGGGCATAGACATCCTGACGACTTCCACCCGGCAGGCCACATGCACTCACAAATATCAAATTGTGTATAAACACCTTGGTGCTATCTCTCAAATCATAAACATGACCATAATCGAAATATTGTCGCAGCAGCTCTAGTGGAGGTTGGGCGCCATATTCCTCTTTCATAGGCATACTCAAGTCGTCGACAAATAATACGGTCTGTTTGCCTTTAGGGGCACCATAAATACCACGTTTCCATTTTTGTAACTGGAAAAGAAACCAAAAAATTAATAAATTTAAAGTAAAACCCACGTTGGGCGCCAAATCCCTTTTTTATCATACCTTGGAAATCAGTAAGTCTTGCGTCTGATTTGCCGAAATCATCACCGTGAATGTCATAAACGCCGTCTCATAGGCCTCACCATCCAATTTATTCATAAGATAATTTTGTATATACACAGTTTTTCCGGTTCCGGTGGGTCCAACCAACAGGATTTTCTTTTTGTGCTGAAAATTAAAATTTTTTTAAATATTTATTGTAAGTGAGGTTATTTTGTGAGAACTACTCACATCAATATGCATTTTAAGCAAATGCATATACCGTGCCGTATCTATAGTTGGCACCTGAACACCAAGTGAGGTCTCCTCCACTTCCAGCCTCTTGGCAATATCATTCCATGAACGCCATGAACCTCTTTGCTTGAATATATACATATAGTCCACCAAGAGACCTTCCAAGGGCATGGATATATCCAATTTACCGATAGCTTCGGGTATGGTTTCCTCGTTGGTCCATAGCTGGAAATTAAAACTTTATATTATTAACCTCGGAATATTCGTGGGAAATCGCATATTTCAACAAATTACAAAAGAGTTCGCTTTGGCATTTTGGACACACACTGATACTACTCAAAAGATGTTTGGCATTTGAAATGGATCCACGATTTGTTTTAGCCCTCATACCATTGTCCATTTTTTTATTTTCAATGTTTTTAACCGAAGTGGCTGCAATTTGACATTCAGGGTCCTTGAGTAGCAAAAAATATCTTCGCAGAAAATGGTGATTTGAAAAGTGTCCTCATGGAGGCTGGGGGTATAGATAAACATACCGCCTTCTTGATGATTGAGAAATTAAAGTGAAATTATTTTTCAAGATATCGATTGCCTTTTAAATCAGGGTGAGGTTCTAAACATTTATGCCATTCATGAAAACAGGAGATTTGGAAAGCGTCTTTGCCAACACATTTCGATATGGGTTCATGTTTTGACATAGCCGGACTATATCCTCCCCTGGTGAATTGTTGTACCATAGGTTGGTATCAAAGTTGACCGGAGGAGGCTTGGCAAATGATTGCCAAAATCTCTTTGGAAAATGTGAGGGTGCCTACGGACAATATGAAACAGGCTATTGTGGATACATGCCAATATTTCCACACCACGGCGGGTAAGGTGTCACAGAATTTCTGGGAGATAATGATTATTGGGGGTCCCATTAAACGTATCCTAGGATATTTGAATTTCCTGCAATCCCTCAAGAATGTTGATAAGAATAACATTAATCCGGATATTATGAAAAAGATACGCAAAGATTTTGCACCACACAAGGACTTCAATTTCAGTATTGTGGCCAAGGTTTCCAGTGCTGCAAAGCAAGAATTGTACTGTGTCAATGGATAATTACCATGGACTTGTATGATCATGTGGCGAAAATTGTGGCTCCGAAAAAGTCTAAATTGGCAGAGGTCGAAAAGGAATATGCCGACACCATGACCTTCTTGAATGAGAAGCGGGAGTTGACAGCCATGTTGGTGGCCAAGGTGACAAATTTAAATGAAGACCTGCAAAAGGTCAACATGGAAATGAAAAGGACACAAGATGAAGCAGATCTATGTCAGGATAAATTAGCGAGGGCAAAATCCTTAATTGATGGTTTGGGTGGTGAAAAGTCCTGATGGACCAAAGATGCCGATGATTTGCAGGTGTATGACCATTTACCGGCAGATATTTTACTTTCCTGCGGTATTATTGCCTATCTCTCGGCCATGAATTATAAATTTCGAAACTATTGCTATTCGAAAAGATACGCAAAGATTTTATGCAACACAAGGACTTAAATCCCGATTTCGTAATTGCCATGGATTTTTACGATCATGTCAAAATTGTGGCGCCTAAAAAGCCAAACTATCAGCGGCAAAAAAGAAATTGAGAACATCTATATATGTTGATGATCCTATCCCAGTTTTACGATCTCAATGTCTGTAATTTGGTTCATATTTAAATTTTTCGGATAGCAGATAATTCACAATGACATAGTCCAGCCCCGCTAATTTAACGGAGTTTTTACATATTTCATTCTCAACCAGTTTGTCTCTCTTGGTGAATAAAAATATTCGAATTAATAAAAACTTCGACAAAAAACTTACCTCTCTATAAAACTTATCAAATTTCTCGCGTGATCTGTTATCCAAAATCCCAGCAATACCCCAAACTATACCATAAGTTATGGCAGCCTGGAAATACATGGGCAGATATTTTTGATAATCATCGGGATTTTCTTCAATGGCCTCATGTAGACACATATCAAATATATCGAAGGTTGTCTGCAGGCGATTAAATTCACCGGGTTTCAAATATTGAACGCACTGCTTGCGTATAAAATCCTGGCACTAAAAATGGAACACAAATTTAGAAATATTTTTTTTAACTGAAACCCTTTTTCCTACCGGTTCCAATAACCATGAAAACAATGCTAGGACATATGGTGAATTCTCCTCATCGGCCCAACGTTTATCGGCACGTTTTAGCCACGAGTTGGCAAAGGCACGCCAACCCAAGGAGGCCGGTTCCATATAGATCATGCCACAACGTGATACCGTGGCAGGGGAGGCTTGTGACAAATCCATTACCTCAAATATCATTGACATTTCTTTGGTCATGGTAATGACTTCGCCGGAGGTTAGACACAATTTTTTATTGTCATCCAAAACGGTGTTCATATTTTCAATCCAAACGGCATCGACGGGACCATCGAAGACAACCTAAAGGGGGGACACATTTTATAATTATTTTGGTACATTCTTTATTATCCCACTTACCCACTTCCTATCCGGTGTTGGTGTCATTGCAAATTCCCTAAAAATTCTGGCCACCAGACCATCTGTCCATTCGTAAGACACCGGATCAAAGGAACCATATAACTGATTCATGGTAATTGACTTGGGATTCATAATACCCATTTGAACATGTTGATAATAGGGACTTTTATCTGAGGCCTTCTCTTTCAGGGCTGATAAAATTTTCGCCAAAATCTCCAATGTTTTACTTTTACCAGCCATTGGATCTCCGACCAACATAAAACCATGCCTCACAATAATCATCTCATACGTCTGTATCACCTTGATGAGGAAACTTTGCGCCGGTTCCAAATCCATTTCCTCACAAAATCTATAGAATTCACCCTCAATGAGACTATAATCTATTGAAGGTAGTTCAATTCCAGGGAATATATCCGATATAATACCCTCAAACAAAGGTATATCAAATGACATAAATTTCGGTAGATTTACATCGATAAGGGAGCGTAGCAGCAAAATATCTTCCACCTCATTTGGGAATTGCTTCTTTATGTTACCACATGCGGAGAGCACGGTCTTCACTGCCCTCATACCATAATCGTAATGATTTTGCATGGACAATTGTTCGGAACATAGACGATAGGTTGTGACAATTTTAATGGCTAATTTTCGGGCATCCACAAAGCCATAGGAATACAAAGAGATTTCACCAATCATCGCATAATCAGGTACCATCATGGCCACCGAACGGAAAAGAACTTTTAAATTATCTGGCAACTCCGAACGTCCCGCATAGCCGGGATTCATGGTGATGCAAACATAGCATGCAGGATTTAATGTCAATTCGGTATTTTCAAAAACAAATTTCACTGCCTTGGCCCGCACTGCTTGAATGATTAGTAAAATTTGCTGGGCCACCACGGAGAGCACTTCCAATTCAATGCGATTAAATTCATCAAAGCAAGCCCAGGCACCGCAGGAGGCGAGACCTTTGAAAAACTTACCCATGGCCTTGTAATCTAAGCCATCGGAACAATTGAAGACCTTACATTGTACCGCCAATGCTTTGGCCAAATCTTTGGTTGTCTCCGTTTTACCCGTACCTGCCGGCCCTTCTGGCGCACCATTTAAATGCAGTTGGTATGCACCCACCAACGTGCGATAACATCTATCCGTCAAAGGGGTGATGACCAAACGATCTGAATTACCCAAATATTCATTGGCATAGGGCACAGTGGCATTGATAATCCTCACCCAACTATCATCCTCCTCCCAATAGTAACGTAACTGGGCCAACCACTGGAAATCATATTCATTGTTGATTTTCATCCTTATCAATTCCTCCACCACATCCTTGGCATGGACATCGATGACAATTAGGGACTTTATGGTAATGCGATTCAAATTGCTTATCTTTGTCGACCTCACCAAATCCACAATTTGCCGCAAATCCACATTCAGCTCTTCGAAGAAATTCTGCATGGCCGAAGCATCTGTTGCGGATTTCCTTAGACTACCATGAACATTACTGGCCCAATAGATTTGTGAGACACACAACACCACCATCTGTGGCCAATTTAAGACCCATTCATATCGCTCCAATGTGGGATAATTTTTATAAGACCATGCCATTTGTTGGCGCACCGCCTTTAACATTTCCTCTTCCACACCCAGTAACCATTTCTCCACACTGCCACCTGCGGCTGCCGTTGATACCTCATCGACAAATTTCACCACTTCCTTATCGGAACTAATCATGGATATGACATTTTTCTCTTGATCAAATTCCAAGCTATCGATGCCCTCAAAACATTTACTCAAATGCGGTAGCACTCTCAAGGGATCCTTGGTCTCGGATAGAATTTCCAACATTTCATCATTGGAGAGAAAGAAGAAGCGTGGGAAATACAAGCGTTTCTTTTCCAAATAATTATTCACGCCATTAGTAATATCATCCAGCAGCTCCACAGCCTTCACAAGGGACTCCAATAGTCCTGGGGCCGGTGCAGTTTCCATAACCAAGGGTTGACGCAAAATCATGGCCATATTTCGGCTAAAAGTTTGTTCCACAATATTAAAAAGCCTTCCCTCCTCTGGCATTTGAGCCACAATATCCTTGGACGAAAATATCGGCAGCAAATATAAAAAGTTCGCCTGCACCTTACCCCATTGATCCAGGGTTTCATTGACTCTCTTGATTTTCTCATACCAAGCCAAAACCTCCGTTTCACATGGCTTCATAAAGGCTGATCCTCTCATGGACAAAGTTTTCAAAATATGATCATCCAGAAGGGCTTGTATATCATCTAAATTAGAAAGTATCTGCACTCCTGTCTCCTTATAAGGTCCTGTGGGGAACACCCGTGTATCCCATTCATGTATCATGGCCTGCAAACTATTCCACAGTTGTAGCTCTTTATTAGCACTTATGCTTATTATTTCAAATTGATCCAATTTCGAATCCAAATTGTAATTTAAAATTTTTCGTAAAGTTGTTCCAGCATCGGGTGTAATATCGAAACCGGCTATTTCGGACATCTCCTTCCAGTGACGTTTCCTCAAGGCCGGATTGCACATGTTGTTGACAATAAACACTCCGGTGGTGAAATCTTTGATCGACTGTATCATTTTAGAACACAGACGCAATGGGACTGGATGATTATTTGGATCGGGATCTTCCGTTTGACCCTGGAGGTAGAAATATTTAACATTAGTTAACTGAGAGAAGATACTATTGTTTTGAGGGTGTATTACCTTAAATTTACACACAGGATTGTCAATGAGATCCTGTTTGATCTTCTGTCTATAGTATTTCTGATTCTTTTGAAACTCCTTGAGATAATTGTCGGTGGTATATTCCACAAATTTCGGTTCCAAATATTCAAACGGCCCATCCATCCACACATTATAATAACGCAACCAATTAATGCATAATCTAGTTAAGGAGGAATGAGAATATATACATATACGAAAATTATTTATATTTAAATTTCTGAGCAGTCTCACATAAAACTTCGAAATCTATTCTAACGATGTATCTAAGGCATTGTAATGCAAAAAACGTGCACAAGCAATCTTTTAACATTCGGTGTATTAATCACATTTTTCTAGGATTCATAAAATGGCGTCCAACTGAGTTTGAAGATTATTCTCTTAGACCTGAAATGTCACATTTTGCTAGGATTCATAAAATGGCGCCCAACTGAATTTGAAGATTATTCGCTTAGATCTGAGAACCCTAATAACCATATTGCTAGCAATTAGTTTAAAGTATCCTACGTACCTCAATCATCAAAAGACAATTATTTCACATGGAATGCAGACGCCAAATATCTTCCACCTCATTGAGAAATTGCTTCTTTAACACGTACGGAGAAGACAGTCTTCACTGCCCTTTTTTTGCATGGATAACTGTTCGGAACATAGGCGATATGTGGTGACAATTTTTATGGCTTATTCTCGAGCATAAAGTCGTAATCCTATGAAAATTTGGTGCACTAATCACAATGTGCAAGGATTTATAAAATGGCGACCAACGCAATTCGATTACACCTGTAAAATAACTATATAACATTTTGTGTACTAAACACATTTTCCAAGTATTCATAAAATGGCGCCCAACTGAATTCGATGATTATCTTATCAAACCTAAAAATCCTAATTATTACTATCGAAAATCCTAATTATTACAATAATCGCAATGATTTTCCATGGGTAACAGTTCGGAACATAGGCGATATGTGGCAACAATTTGTATGGCTAATTTTCCGACACCTACAAAACCATAGGAATACAAGCAGATTTCATCAATAATGCCAAACAATTTGATATGATTTGGTGTACTAATCACATATTCCTAAATAATCGCATATTCAAAGGTTGTTGGCAATATTTCTGAGCTTCGACTTTGTCTGAATTTGCTAAATATTTATTGTCATGGGAAACTGTTTGCTTTCCGATTCCTTCCCCAGCTACCATCTTCTTTCTAATATTATCGTAACTGGGCCAACTTTTGGGAATCACAATGTAATGTGATTTTTTTTTTTTAAATTATCGGAACCTTTATATGCTTTGGCTCGCACAGCTTGAATGCGTAGCAACAATTGCTGAGCCACCGAGACACAACCTCCATTTCATTCATGCAAAGCTCACCGTTGGAAGCGAGGCGTTTGAAAATTATGCCCGTGGCTTTGAAATATAAGCAATCGGAACCATTGAAGACCTTACATTGCACCGCCAATATTAGGGCAAATCTTTGGATGTTTCAGTTTTACCCGTCATCTGAGAAACCCTCTGATCATGTATGTGATAGGCCCTCACGAATGTACGTAATATCTATGAAGTAATGACCAATTGCCCAAATATCGATAAGCATAGGGAACTTTCTGGCACTGATAATCCTTACCCAGCTATAATTCTCCTCTCAATAGTAATATAACTGATTCAACTATTGGAAATCGCCATATGTTGTGTATTCAATATTTCTTATAATGGTTGGGTCTTTTTATAGAGGATATGTCATTGTAAAGTGTCTGCTAGTAGATTTTTATGCTCTGCGAAAATTAACTTACAAATTACAGAAACTCAGGTTTAGAAACCTGGAAAACTGGACTTCAACTTAGCTATAATTAAGACGGACTATGGAGCCTATTAAATTACATTGATTTATGATGAAAAGTTTCTTGGAAGATGTTTTTTATTCAACAGAAATGTACAATTCCAAATTACGACCACTTCATTGAGGAAATTCGGCTAAAACCTTCAATTCTTTGTTAATATGGGCGTTATGCCAAAATCGAAGATCTTTTGCAAAGCGATTTTTATCCCTTCGAGCACAGAGAGTGCCAAATTGCAGCTACTTCGGTTAAATGTTCAATACTCAAAACTTGAACCTATTACATCGAAATAATTTGGAAAATACATATGCGAATTTTGTAACACCAATGAATAGATCTGTAGGAGTGTCTGAAATAAAGAAAATAACAAAACACCAAGTGAAGGAGAAAGGCGGAGAATGCTACCAAAACAAAACACAGCCGTTTCCACGACAGAGAGGTCTACGATCCGAAACGACACGAGTCGTTCTCGGCCAACGTCTATCACCTCAGCCCATTGTGTAAAAGCAATAGGGCTGCTGCAACAACAACAACAGCCGAACAATGAATGGTGGTGTTTTTGCTTGGGAGAAATACATTTGTTTTTGTAAAAAAGAGAGGGGGAGAGAAGAAAAATGAGCCCGAATATTAGTAAAGTAGAGCGAAATAGGAACATTGTTGTGATAATAATGAAATGTTCCCTATAGAAAGGTTCCCTATAAGAAATATACGATGTGGGACGTATAGGTGTGTATATCTTTTAAAAAATTCAATATAATTTAAAAAAGTTTAACTTTTAAAATATCTAATTTTAAATCGACTTACTTCATTAACGTTGCAAAGGGATATACGAATGTCTTCAGTACATCCATTGTTGGATATTGCGTTTGCGGAATTTTAAATAATTTCTCCTCCTTATTGATCCATGCCACATAATCATCAAAGGTTTTCAGCTGATCGATAAAATTCTGTAACATTATATAATAGGATTTAAATTTCTGTGGATCACTCATATCATTGATGATGGTCATTTTTGGAATCATTTCTTCGATGTCATCATTCAACTTCTTCACCACTTCTTGGAGATGTTCCTCAAACAGAGATTTATAATTCTCCTGTTGTGATGCATTGTAGTCACATATTTCATTGATGTCATTTAACCAATTAATGGTCTTTATGGTCAAATCGAAATGGTAAGGAGACATTTCACATAACTCCACTAAGTTTGTACCCACTTGCAGGGTATATTGTATGCGATCACGTAATTCGAAAAGTTTTTCCTTTTTAACATATATCATGTATTCGGAGCTAGCTAAAAGTTCTTCTGTGGTCTTGGGTATTTCCAATGCCTTCTCTTTGATATGTTCAAATTCCGCACAAATGGCTAATTCCGTTTTAATATGCTCCTTGGTAATTTCCGCAGTGATACGGGCTATCAAACCATCTGCCACCTGTCGTAAAAGTTTGATACACTGTTCGTTATTAATTATGGCCAGCAGGAAATAATCCTGCTTCGGCTCACTGCGCAACATGTTGATGTATTCGAAGTAGGAATCAATTTTCTTGAAATATTCTTCAAATTTCTTAGGCTCTGCCAGAAAACGATCCAAATCCTCGCGTACCGCTTGACTATATAGGCCATAATATTTACGTTGATATTTATGTAGATACTGTTGTATGGGTTGATAGGTTCGACTAATGGTTTTCTTCAGACTCTCCACAAATTCATTGAGATAATTCTCGTTTAGATTGATGCGTAAATATTCCGCAGCCTGATTGACAGTGCTGGGATCGATTTGTGGTTGTATGGGTTCCATGCGATTACCCACTTCGGCAATTTCACGCACAATGGTGACATAGGTATCCTGGATTTCTTCCAAACTGGGACTGATATCTATGCCATCTCCTTCTTCGTAGCAAATTAAATTGAGCCTCAACATGGGTATGGTCTGACCATCGGAACATATCCTCAGCAGTTCATTGAGGGTACGCTGCTTTAAATTATTCATTTGCCGATTAATGAGACCTTCAATACACAGAAATATCATTGGCCACATTTTTGGAGTTGCCACACGTTTCCGATGCATTCTGCGTAGAGTATTTATGACTTTCGGATACCAGGTCCATCGCAAAAAGGTATTATAATTATCTAAAGATGTGCGACAATATTTCAGCAGAGCCTTGTGGGATATACATTCCCTTTGACCCAAGCCCAATTGTACCGCCGCAGCCTGACCCACAGTAATTTGCAGAGGTTCAAATATCACCAAATATTCGGGAAATTCTAATTCCGTGGAATTCAAAACAAACCTGACGGGTAGCTTCAAAATCAATAGCCTCTGACCAATCCTCTTACGATTTGTAACATATTTTTCATAGTTCTTCGTTTTCCCTGGCAACGTAAAACGAAAATCGGCCTTTGGTAATTCAAAATCTGCCGGATTTTCATGTGGTAGCTCGGGTTTAACCAAAATCTTTTTCATGCTATAGATTTTCATTAACCGATCAAATTCATCGTGAACATCTTTCATATAGAGCTTCACCAGATTTGGTAATTTTTGTTTTAGCCTCAGCGGAGCATAGCTAAGGATTTTCTTTTCGGTGCGTGTTAACATTTTTGGTACGGTTATTTGTCGTACAGATCTTCGTAAATTATCAACATAATGTGATTCGGGCAGATAACGTATGTCCGGTTCGGGTGGTAATCGTTTTCGTGCCAATTTCATTTTTACCTCTGCTGCCCGATATTTGAGAAAGGTGTGATGCCTTCTCTCATAGACTTTGGAGAGATGGAATTTAAGCAGCGGGTTTTTCATATATTCCTCATTGTCGTAACGATCTAAATTGGCTGGTGGGTGATACATTCGCTCCAACTTGCGGGTGAACATTTTTGTTTGGGTTTATTTATTCGATTTTTCTTTTTCAAACTTCTTTTCGAAGTTTTAATTGAATTTTTTTAAATGATTTTTTTTTAATAATTTTCGATTATTGACATTTTTCTTTGTTAGCACTTCTGTTTGTTTTTTTCTATTTTGAAATAAAATTTCTTTACCGGTGTTTATTTCCATTCAACAAAATCTGCTAGGCAATGCCGGTTGCCAAGTAACGTTCAACGATGGAAGGGTTGTATCGTTAAGGGATGTGGTGTTGGTACAAATTATTTTCCGCCATCCAATAAGCCGGAATATGATATTAAGGGCCCATACACTATAAATCATGCCGTCATGCCGATGAACCCCTTTGCGTATATGTGAGATTGACTAGTGTATGGCAAACTCTTCAATCACTATTCAAAAAAAAAATCGATTTTTGTCCCAAAAATTGCATTTTGAGTCGTAAATTCAGTTGTTTTTTATTCCGTCACAATTCTATTATTTTTGTACACAAAATTATTTACTGCCAACTTTCAAAATGAATATTTTTCACCAGATTGATAGGGTTTCATTTTCAAAATCAAAACTATTTTGATTTTCTTCATGCATTGTGTGTGTCACACATACATCAATAAACTTTCAAAAAATAACAAATACTATGATAAATGCTGTACGGCATGATGTATAGTGTATGGGGCCCTTTACAGTCATTTCGATGAGAAAGTTCGGTTAAAACTGAAAATATCAAAAATCTCGAAATATATATTCTTAAAAATACCGAAATTAAGCGGAACCTAACCTTGCTTTCCAAAATACTCCAGACACAACAGTCCAACGGATTGGTATCGGGAGATTTTGGTGGCCATTGTGCGCTGGAAATGAAGCGAGGAACCTCATTTTGTAACCATTCATGGGTGGCGCGTGCTGAGTGCGATGGTGCTGAGCAGGGACGTACGCAGGGGGGCGGCCCGGCCCCCCCCCCCCCGAAATGAATTTTTTTCACATTATATTTATGTTTGCAACAGCAATTTTTTTCATTTTTTACTACCGGGCCCCACCCCGAAATGAAATTGTGTGTACGTTGCTGGTGCTACGTCATGTTGGAATGTCCAAGGTCTGCGGCCATAATGTTTGCATGTCCAAGGCTTCAATACACCCTCCAGAATATTTTCGCGATAATATTCGGCATTTATTCTGATGCCACGGTCGATTAATACGAGCGGAGAGCGGCCCACACCATCGCTATGGCCGGCGCTTGAGTTCTAGTGGCCAACCGAAGGTGCACAGTTTTAGCTGACCTCTTCTGCAAGTAAACACGATCATTTTGTTTATTTAGAAACTGCTAGACAACGAATGTTTTCTCATCGAAGAAGACCAAATTCGGCAGTTCACCACTTTCGACCAAGCGAAGCAACTCTTTAGCACTTTTCAGTCTATTTTCTTTCTTTGCCGTTTATGTTCTTGCACCTTTTGGAATTTCAATGGCTTTACCCCGAGCTCATTTTTCAATATTTGCCGAATGGAATATTGCGATATGTTCAGCTCCAAAGCCATTTTTCGGTCACTGCGATGCGGGTTTCGATCAAGTCGCATCTTTACTTTTCGAACCATTTCTGCTGATGTTGCTGTTTCCGTCCACTTCCTTGACGTCGTGAACAGTGTGAAGTTGGTTGTTTTTCTGATTTGTCGTATTGCCAGAAAATAGTGTTCGAAAAGTCAATTCATGGAGATTTTTTAATTAGTTGAAATATAAGATTTAATACCTATATTGAAATGAGTTTAAAATTTTAAATTTTTCATATACAAATATCAATTCTATTTAGAAATTGATTTCCCCCTGACAATATCATATGTTTACTTCATAGTTTGTTTATAATTTCTTTGGTCTTTGTCATTTGCCACGAAACTTTGGTGTTTGGTGTATGAAGTACTCGCCCAGCCATAGTTAATGATAATTTCCGTAAAACATCTGTAACTAATGATGTTTGGCTGGCTGGCTGTTCACATTTTGACATTTCATTGTGTGCGTTCTTCGTTTCTTCTGATTTGTGACTGTCAGAAATGTGTCACTTCATGTCCGTGATTTGAGAAGTAAACACTCAAAAGTGTTTTTCTTCTGTTATTTTGAAAATGACACCACAAATCGATTAATGAAGTCAAGGTCACAACGGTCGGCAAAAGTCCTTTAATAATAATTTAACAAAAAAAAACTAAATACACATATTTTGAAATAGTTGCATATTAAAAATAGATTATATTGAGAAAAGTGAAAATATATTTATAGAATGAATACAAAAACACAAAAAATGAAAAATTGTTTACAAAAAATACATTCATTTATCGTAAGGGCAGTTTGTTAGGTAATCAATGTTGATTGATATTTTATTAATGAAACTTAAAAAACAAATTTTACTACTAAAAATAAATTTAAATCATTAAAAATAAATTTTAATTAAAAAAAAACAATATACAGTTTGTTGTAAATATTCGTAATTTCAGTTGAAATTAAAAACTTTCCAATTGGCAGAAAAGATTAAAAACATATTAATGGTCGTCCTCTTCACCTCCTCTAAAAGAATTTTTAACCATATCTGAAAATAAATTTCGTATATATTCACACTCGAAATACGAAAGAGCTCGCAACTACTCCTGGCTTATTTATACCCTACACAACTATGTTGTCAGGTTATTATAGTTTCAAGAGTTTCCCAATAGTAACTCCGCGAAATATTAGTTCTAGACTGAGTATACCGACACATTTATCACGAAATTTTCCATGTAGGATGGGTTCTGGCGATAGGAGACCTATTTTGTTTTTGGAAATTATCCTTTATTATTTAAGGGATTAAATTTTTTTTGGCCGTAATTGGTCGTTCCAGAGGCCGCAAATATGTTTCGAACATCACGAAATTTTACACGGAGAAGTTGATAGTATATCCAAGAGGAGGGATTACATTTTAAATTGATACCTATTATATTGTTGTAAGTACTCTGATGTGGGAGTTATACGTTAATATTTACCGGGTTCTACATATGCCGATACTGTTAAGTATTACATTTACCACACTAGAGGTCGAAATGTAGCGCTGATGGCTAGGAAATTTTCCTGGAGGTTCCAATTATGGTCAAGAACGATGTATGATGATCAGAAGATATTTAGGGAATGAAATGGACCGAAATGGACTCTAGACGCCACAAGTATAAGCCGAATATCACAAATTGTACATGGGGAAGGGGATCTGATCAACTAATTAGATTGAATATTCGGTAAATATTGGCGGGTCAAATGAAACAAAGTTCGAATATTATGGGAAGCCGTGATTGGGGAAAATATGCCAGGGTAAGAATGTGAAGCTTTAGTCTTCTAGTCGGTCAAGAGTGTGCAAATTTCGTCAAATGTTACCAAGACTATGAATATAAATGCGCTAGAAGTAGAATTTAAGTCGATGTTTATAGTTATATTTTAAGTCGATGTTTATAGTTATATTTTAAGTCGATGTGTGAGAGCTCGCATTGTCATGGTGCTCTTTGGCGGTCCTTGAAGAAAATAATATTTAACAAATTCAAAACCGGAATTTTTTTACAAAATCCAAGCCTTTGTTGGTGATTAAGAAAATATTCTTTAAACAATCCAATTATTTGTTGGTGTTTAAACAAATACTCTTTAGAAAATCCACTCGAATGATGGTTGTTGAAAAAATATTCACACCTTTGTTAGTGTTTCTCATCTTATTCGTATTTCGCATTTCTTCGAAGATTTCTGGCAAACAAATTGTGGTGTACCTCTACGTTGTCCAAGCAAAGCAGTCACATTAATGGCCAATTTTGTGAGGAAACAGTAGACCTTTTGCTTCGATGTGCTTCTTCCACGAACAACTTTCTTTTGATATGGTTTGTCTTCGAAGACATACACGGTTAGTTCTTGTTTTGTTTCGGGCTTATAGGCATGGATTCATGATTTGTAACCTGTGAAGCACCACGATCGCATTTTTCCAAAAATTTTTTCAACTAATCGACACGATGATTTTTTGAGCGATTACCAAATTGTGCGAGATTCAACGAGAACAAATGTGTTTATGTGGATGCTTCTATATCGCAGTAAGCCACATAATGATCTTGTATTTTCTTGTACTTTTCCATTTTTTTAAAGTCCCGTTTATAGTTCCGGTCTATTAGATGATAAGGAATTATGTATTAATACAGAATAATATAATGTAAATGCGGTCGCCTTGAAAAAAAAAAAACAAATTCATTATTGCCCACATATCAGGTTGTCTAGAAGGCGTATTCCTACCAATATATTTTAGAACATATTAGCAAGTAGTTTATTTTAAAGTAGCACCCCGCACTGATTTTTTGTTAATCCTTTTTTTTTATTTTCTTGCATTTGTACTTTGATAGCTAACTATGTTATGTTATTCGAAATATTTTGACAAAAAACTTAGACATCCGCTGGTCTTACTGGATGACCTAATATACATGTATGCCTTGGGTCAGGTTTTTGACATAAGCCCAATATCAATTTATCACATGTTTTTGGTATGTTTCTGTACTAAAAAATTTATTTAAAAATTTTCTAAAGAGATAATCGACAATTATGAGAATAACAGGAATCCAAAAAAAGCGAAAAATTCGTTAAGTTCGAACTGAACTTTTTATACCCTCCACCATTAGGTTGACTTTAAAAATGTCTATAATTTATATTTTTTGGTAGAAAGATTTACCATCCAAAAATACCTTAGAATATAAAATTAGAGCCAATTCGGTGGGAAAACGTGTCATATATACTAAGTAATTAGGGACACTGTTATATTGGGCTAATCAAACCTTTTGGTAAGACGAGTTTCTATCCAACGTGCCTAAAATTTCCCAAACTACCAACTTTGCAGCACCAATGCCTAACCACATATTTCAGGATAATTTATTTTTTTTTTTATTTATTTCCTCTGCATTTAAAGCCAAATTATAATTCATGAGACCAATTAAAAGTCAATTACCTAGATTCCCCAACGAATTAACATTTCATTATTAATATGTAATTTGTCATTCAGTTTGCAACACCTCGTAATATTCGCCCGAGACCCCATATACTCTTGATCAAAATAATATTTTATGTCCATTCGAGTTTTCAGTGTTTTTGTCCCATTTTCCAGACGAAGAGGTCCGATTTTTACATATCTACTATATACAAGTCCCACTCTATTTTATGTATTTTTTTGTGGTCCTAGGCGAATTGTCCTAAGCGATGTGGATGTAAAGTAGCATACCTGACTCTAGGTGGGTAAAACACAGTTTCACATAAAAAAGTTTAGGCGCACCACCCATATAAATATAACGACCATTTTCGGTATTCTTAATGGGGAAACACATAAGAGGACTTCAGGCATGGCCTTTTAAGTTGGCTTATTTTATTTTAAAGGAATAAAGGAGAACAGCGTCCAAAATCAAGTTCGACTCTGATATTCCTTTAACATCCCAGACCTGAATCCTAGCACGTGTTTCCCTCTTTTAGGTTCTAGTTCAATTTTGAAGCATATGTTTCTGAAATTTAGCATTTCGTTTTCTCCGAGTACAAAATTTCCCTTTCAGACAGTTCATAAGGTTTTTGATATATTCTTAGCATACCTATGGTACATTATTGCCCATAAGGTAGCGGTGTATTTTCTCCTTTCTGACAAAAGATACCCTACCTTGTATAATTGTACCCAATTTATAATGTAGGTTATAAAAAGTTCGGGTCGTTCGAACAAAAATGCGTGTTCACTTGTTGCAACATTCACTTCTGCTGTTATAACTTTACCCTTGTTCCCTAAAGAACCAGACAAGATATAGTTGTTGGTATCCCAAATATGATCGGAAGTACAAATTATTGGACTAAAAGAAAACAATACCCTTACATATTTAAAGTCCATATAAAATCGAGCTCCTCGTCCTCCTCCTCCTCCCAAAAATTAATAAAAACATCAATATTCAATTTAGTTAAAATTATAAAATATATTATTTACAAGTTTATTAATCAATAAAAATAAAAAAATATTTGTTTAAAATAATTATTAAAAATTGACTAAATGAAAGCATAATTGTTGTTGTTGTTTTCTTTGGTTTTTTTTATAATCTTTGGTTTATAGATAAGTGTAGATTTTTTCTGTGATATGTTTAATACTTTTTTCTTTGGTTATTCTATAAGCAGAGTTCACTCCTCCTTCATACGTCTTGACAAAATACTCTTCAGAACAATCCATCCATCCTTTAATACTATTTCCTTTTTCCTGGCCACTCTCCTTATCTTGGTACCAAATCAATGTAACCACCAGGCCTCATCATTTGATGTGCTGCCGTATTATAAAAACTTTGATAGCTACTCATGCCATATGAGTTACCGGAGGGTGACATGTTATTTGCACCCGTGAGTCCCGTTGGCGATGTGCTATTCGGTACACCATGGCTGTGGGCTTGACGCATATGACCAGTTACTTTGATTTTCTCATAGGGATTACCATAACTATGACCATGATAGTGGGGATTGTGATAGATGGGACCATAATTGGAATTATCCGTGCCGTAGGGTTGACTCAAGGTGGAGTAGATATTTGCCGTGCCCATATGGTGATGTGCCTGATGATGATGTTGCGGTGATGTCTGGGATATAACTTGTGAATTGAGATTCAAATTCAAATGGGTATGGGTGGGATGATGATGAGGCGAAGTGGTGGTCATAAGACCGGCGGTGGCTGAAGAATTCGCCAAAGATGACGTAAGTCCAGCAGTTGCAGCCGTGGCGACATTTTGACTATGTGAGCCGTTGTGACCATATGGAGAACCGCCACTGCTGCTGTGATGCGAATGATCGGTTTTGGGTGAAATGCAATTCGTATTGAGCAGGCCGTTGTGACCATTTGCCGTCTGGCTGGCCAATGTTTGATAGTTAATGAGATCAGGCGATGTACCAGTTGTGGAGGGGGTAGAGGGTGCGGTATTCATGGTGGTGGAGTGAAGATGATGACTGGCGGTTGCTGGCGATGTAATCATGGCATTGTGATTGTGATTCTCTAAATCTGCTGCTGTGGAGTTGTTGTTGGCGGCGGCTGTTTCTTTTGAATGACCCTTGAGAGATTGTTGCTGATGGTGATGATGATGTTGCTGCTGCTGCTGCTGTTGGTGATGTTGTTGTGCTTGCTGTTGTTGGGCTTGCTGATGCTGTTTCATTCTGGCATGACTTTCATGGCTCATTTGATTCATTGCCATGCTTCCTCCGTTTGGTGGTCTACAAAAACAAAACAAAAAATCAAAAATAAAAATTATAAAAATGTTCACATCAGTTTTGTTAATTTATATCACTTTTGCATATCGTTGTTATTTTTTTTATAACATTTTATAAACAATAACAATTGGCTACTTTGCACACATACACACACACAGAGACATAGAAATATTCATATAAACATTTTAATGGGTCCACCGTTTTTCCTCCAAAATATTGTTATTATTTCGAATTTTTTGTTGTTTTTGCCATTATTTCCCAAGAATAAATCCACCACAATATTGAAAATATATTGAAAGTTTTGAATTATGTTTGTTGTTATTATTATTGTTGTTCTTTGAGTGGCTACTTCGAAAAGAACTTCCACAAAACTTTTTAATTGAATATTGTTTATAATATCATCCGAAATGAAATCGATTTGTAGTGTCGAATGCATATAAAAATAGATAAACATGTTGTGTGGGTACACTGAGGTCTCGATTTACAGACTTCGAAGGATGTAATAATTTAAATTGTTTTATTAAAATAATAGACATATAATAAGAATATCCTTAAGGGCGTTATATAGCAGATTTTCAGTGAATTCAATCATTTTTTGTTCTGAGGTCAGAGTTGGCACCAGAGTTCCTTAGCTATGAAAAATAGAATGAAGTCGGAAGAACTGAGGTCAACAATTGAATCAGATGGAATTATGAGAGGACCCTCATTAGGAATACAAATCAATTTACATCAATCGGTTGGATGTCTTTATGATAAGTTTATTTCTGGATAACAAAATGGCGGAATAATTTAAAAATTATGACGAAGAAATACCAACTACAGTCAATAGAAAACACCGACCTCTGGTGTTCATGGACAAAAGTTAATTTCTGGATAACAAAATGGAGAAATAACTTCTGGATTGACTAACGTAGAAAATACCCTCCATCTGTAGCTTTATTGAAACTGTTCGGGGAAGGACTTCTTCTACAGGTCGTCAGTACACAAAGTTCTCTTTTTTGACTGCAGATGTTTTTTTTTAATGTGAAGAAGGTTCATTGTTAGTATATGACATCTATACAAATTCCCACTATAGAATACCTTTAGAAGTTCTACAGTCCTATCATCTTATATTCAGTCTTCTGCCTACAGAAAACCCCTAAATTTAATTTACTGACTATCTGTGTTTATAAAATTTCTTTAAAAGTATTCTTTAAGATTTTTTTCATATTTTCGTAGAAGACCTGGCTACGCCTCGTTCATGATATAGAAACCAATGTAGGGAATTTTGCCCCTAGATACATTCAAAACCTTTAAAAACCGACCTTAAGGACTTCTTTCTGTAGAAGATCTGTGAAGATAAAGAAGTTCAGAATCATCCTCAGAACTAAAAGCGTGATTTTTTTAAGTATATTAGTTCAACCATCCTTGGAGCTACAAGTGTGAATTTAAAAAACAAATCCAAACATTTTCGGAACTTTAAGTGTTGATTTTTAAGAATATTTTTATAAAAATCCTCAAAACCGTAGAGGTGTATTTTTCATATTTGTTAGAATTATTATAAAGACCTTTGGAACCATGAGCGTAATTTGTTAAGAATATTTCCTCTGAGCCTTAGACTTGAATCGTTTAAAAAATTTCTTAAAGTATTTCTTTAAAATTTTTCTCAGGATTTTATTTTAGAATATTATTTAGCAATTCTCAAAGCTGTAAGTGTGGGTTTTTAGGACTATTCTTGTAAAGAACCTCGGAGCCATGAATATTTTATATTCTATTCTATATGATTATTTAACTATTTTTGTAATCTGAATCGATTTTTTAAAATATTTTTTCCAGCCATCCTCAGATGTATTAAAAATATTTTTTTAAAGGATGTCTAAGGTGAAGTTTGAAAACTATTTTTGTCAAAGATTTAGAAAAAGTCGAAAGGTATTTTGACTATGGAAGGCCTATAAGAAATCTAAAACCTCTATGACTTCTGTCTTCTGAAGGTATTTTCATTTATAAAAGATCCCCAAAAGGTCATTTGCCAAGCTGCAGAAGGTCTATCCTCTGTAGAAGTCAATTGGAAGCTCTTCTTGTCGATATTGATCTCATGTACCCCCTTCTGTCTAAAAAAGTTCTACAAGCCCATCTAGAAGGACTTCTGTCTGAAGAGACAATTATCCTAGCAATTTTGAAGATTTTCTGCCCATAGATCTAGGAAATCTTTTAAATTTAAAGTTTATCCTATATGAAGGTTATTTTAATTCTTTTTTTCTCTATCCCCTATTATGCGTTACTAGAGGCCCCAGTGTATTTTTTTTTTCTCATAACTTTGAATTATGGCCTTTTTGACTTTTGACGAATCAAAACAAGCAGAAACGATATCAATAAAAAAGTGGGCGCATATCGTTAACACGCGGTCATAATTCATACGAATTCGTTTCTTCGTAATGTTTTGCACTTTTTTTTTTTGTTTCACATCTGAGGGATTTTTTTTGTTTAGTTAATGATTTGTTTGGTTTCATTTTGAATTTCAGCCACATTTTTGGGGAATTTATAGACACACAAGAAGAAGAAGAGTAATAGATTTTTTGGGAATTCCTTTCGATTGATATAAATAATAGATATTCATTCTATGGTCACAGATGTTTCTGTGTGCCCCAAAATTGTGTTATTTGTTTTGAAAATGTAATAAAAAAATCAAAAAGAAAAATAAGAAAAAATTATAAATACTTACGCATCACTTGTGCCATCATCTCTGAAACCTTTAGCAAATGGATTGCTGACAATTTTTAATTGTGTTACCTAAAATGAAAAAAAAAATAGAAAAATAAATAAAAGAAATTAACAAAAAAAAGTATATAAAAAATAAATAATTGCATACAAAAAATATAACAATATAGTTTAGGACCTTCAATAATCAGTCCTATAAAATATTTGCATTCCTTCCAAGCCCCTCGTTATTCTAAAGGGCTTCTTTCGTCCATAACCTCATTCAGAAGACGTATTCCTATAGTGTGTAGGTCAGTAGAACTTGTGGCGAATAAATTTGCTATATCATTGCCCACAACCACAAATTTAATTATTTTTAATTTTATGTACATATATATTTTATTTAAATTATTTTCGAAATTATATACATTTTTTCTGAGCATGTAAAAATGCATCATTTTTACATTTTTATATTTTTTTAAGTGAGTCTTGATTTATTTTTAATTGCCATTTAAATACCAACAAGTTCGTAAAACAAGTAAATATACGATTTTAATTTATATCAATTTATATTAGCTTTTCATTTCATCCAATATTCTATAGTTTAGTATTTTTTGAATTTAGTTTAAAATATTAATTTTTATTTATTGATTTTTTCAATTCATTTTATAATTTATGTGTATAAATTTTTCACATAAAATTTTAAATTAAAAGAGAAATTTTGCAATGAAATAATATAAATGAGAACTATTTCCAATGAAAATGCCACACTGAAAGAAGAAATTTATTTGCAAAAAACCATCGGCAATTTATCTCAATAAACAAAAAATAATTTGTGTCTTTCATAATTATGTCGCGTATGACAGCCAACCACAATAGAAGACTTTTTCATTTTTCTTTGAGGTAGACAGAGTGGAAACAGTGCCAAAATAATATTTTCTTTTAATAGAAAATAATTTAATTTAAAAATAATATTTAGAGGACAACAATTCTCGGCACCAAAGAAATTATTTTTTAAAAAAATTAACGCTTTCTCTGGGATTACTGTTATCCTGAGGTTTTCAAATATAAAATGTATCATTGCTTTTTTGGGTTCTGTTTAGTTGTTGTAGTGTTGGAGATATAGTTAGGGAACTTGTTTTGGTTTATCAATGGAAAAAAAGAAATATAAGCAATCATCTCTAATGTCCAAATATCGCCTTCTATTAGTCAAGGGGTAGAAGGAGTAGAAGCTTCAATCCCAAAATTTTAATCTGGATGATGTGCATTAAATGGAACAGCCATAGGTAAAAAAAGGTAAAAAGTCGAAGAATTTGTTTCTTTTATTGCGCTTAAATACGTAAAGCAAAGGCAAAAATACAAAGAATGACCGCATTTGTAATTTTTTCTTCTTGTTCTTTGTATAAATACTAATTTAATGACTATAAATGCCCAGACTGCAGAAATAAAAACAGCAAAATCAAAAATGTCGCGACAAAAATTCTTAAAAAAAAAAAAAACGATATGCCAAATTTTGAAAGTTCAATAATAAAGGTTGATATCTTTTATTCATGTAAAGAATATAAAAAGTTCAAAAACAATTCTCAGGGTGTTCCTATTATTAGCAGTGATGTCTAAAGTCATGTACATTTGAAGTCGCGTGAGTGACCACTCTTTTGTGGCTTTTATCTCAAAAGTTAAAAACTGGAGGCTCCTAATTATTATACCCTACACAACTATGTTGTCAGGGTATTATAGCTTTGTGCAGCCCGAAGAGTTTGTAACGCCGCGAAATATTGGTCCTAGACCTAGACTTTAAAGTATACCGATCGTCATATCTCGACTAGCTGAGTCGATCTAGACATGTGTGTCCGTCCGTCTGTCCATTATAATTTGTAAATACGATACAGGTCACAGTTATGGACCAATCTTCACAAAATTTTGCATGTAGGATGGATTCTGGCCTATGAAGAACCCTATTGTTTTTGATAAAGATCGGTTAATATTTAGGGAATGAAATGGACCAAAAACTTTATTTTTGTCTGATTTTCTGGTCGCTTCAGACACCGCTATTATGGCCCAAACCTCGCAAATTTTTACATGGAGAAGGTGATCGGGCCAAAGAATAAGCATGCCTATTTTGATAAAGATCGGTCATTATTTAGTGGGTCAAATGGACCCAGACTTTTGTGTAGAAAATGACAAAATTTGTATTCTATTGCGTATATATTTACACCTGAATGGCCTAGACCCGACAAGTTGATAGTATATCCAAGAGGAGTGGTTGACTTTTAAATTGATACCAATTATATTGTCGTATGTACTCACATGTGGGAGTTACACTTAAATATTTACTGAGATACTATTTAGTAACCCATTACCACACTAGAGTGCGGAAATATAGCGCTGATCGTTTTGATATATTCCATGAGGATGCAGGTATGGTCAAAGACAACGTCTATAATTTTCGGTTATGATCAGATAATAAACTTAATTTTTGTGTTTTTTCGAGTCATCACAACACAACCGAAGGTGAAGGGAATCTGTACTTAATATTAGTAATATTTGTTGACTTCTAATCCGTCAAGCTCAGAATATAGGACCACAGAAAGTTAGATTTCCATGGAAGTTGTGTAGGGTATCATATCTGTCGGCCCCGTCCGATTATACTGCTCCACTCACTGGTTTTTTTGTCACTGATAGTACTCCTAAAGTTCTATAAAAAAAAAAGTATTATGGGAGAAATGTAAAATAATTTAATTGTTTTCGATTTATTTAAAATTTAAAATGTGATTTTGCCTCTGAATGTCGTGTAAGTGACTGCGGAAGTGCCCATATGAATGCTTTGGCGATTCATTGACATTGCATGTTCGGATATTATGTGTAACACCAAAAAACTACAACAATAGTAGAAATGGAAAGTGGAACATATGCAAATTATTTCAGAATTTCGATTCAAACATCCTATAAATTTCAACATTTCGTAAAAATCATATCAAATGCCCCGTTCCATTAGAGTTCTCTCAAAATATCCCTTTTTCACCGCAGTTTTTATTTATGAATTTTCTACATAAATTCGAATATATTCGGTATAAGAATCGAAATCTTGTCTTTGCCCGTTCGTTCCGAATTTGAAATAATTGGTAAACACTTTTCAGTAAGCCTATATAATTTCAATTGGTTAAAGACCTCTATAAGCTTTTCGTAGGTATTATTTGTCATTTACAAATATAATTTACCTATACCCATATTTATTGTAACATATTTTGTTTTGTAACTTAAAATTTATTCCTATTCCTATTTATTCTCTTCCAAATTATTATTTATTTTTTTTATTATTGAAAACGAAAATTGTTAGTTTTACTACTTACACGTTGATTTTGATAGGCCGTTACCGCCGTAAACGAAGTCTCCGGAAATATAAAGGTCCTATAATGACTTGAATGTTCACTCTCATCCATTGAGGCATTTTTCGGTGGCAAATAGACGATATGAAAACGTGGCTGATAACGATGCATAGAATTTAAAATAATCTGAAAAAAATTAAAAGAAAAGACATTGCATTTTAAAATCCTTATACAATCAATTAATACAACAAGATTTCAATATTATAGTATGCAAACAATTTTAGCAATTGGGAATTTTCGTGGAACTCAAAGATTCAATTTGCCATAGGTCAACGTTTTGTGTTTTGACATCGATTCTTCGTGGTCCTACAGGTAATTATTTCTTGAACAGTAAAATATGAGATTTTTCATATCCAAATATTCTATCAAAGCGTCTGTCAGACGATTGTAGAAAGCTTCTTCGTAAAACTGATATTCGAGTACCAAGGAATTTTATACCCAGAGTACAATTTTGTTGCAAATAATTTAGACCAGATTTTATTAAAGAAAAAAAATGTTTTCTTCCTCAACTTACATGTCCATTTTCATCCAACTGATTGTTCGTCAATTTCAATTTATCAAAGGAAATGATCTGTTTCATCCAATTAGTACCGGGTGCCGGTGAATCGGGGTGTACGTGTATGCGTGGTGGTGAAATGGGATCAGCTTTTCCTGCCACAACCCAACTGGAACTAAAAAGTAAAAAATAGAAAAATATTAGTTTGACTGAATAAATCTGAAGTAACGTAAATATAAAAAATACAATATTTAAATACAGTTTTTTCTGTAGAAGATCACAAGAATTTTACTACTACAGAAACACTTTGAAAAAATCTTTAAAACGCCATCATAAGAACAAGATCCGGTCCTATATAAAGACACAAGAAGCATTTGATCTATGCAAATCGAATAGAATCCATTATACTGAAATATACTGAATAATTAGAAACGCTTCTATAAGTCTTATACGAAGTATACGTCCCCAAACTCTACCGTAGGGAGTTTTTTAACGCATTTTTGCAAATTCAAGACTCTTCTTTATAGACTGAATACAATTTACATGACTTCTTTTGACAGAAAATCTCCAACAGGTCCTAGATACAATAGTCGACCAGGATGAAGTCAGTAAATGTTGAAAACCGGGTCGAAAATCAATTTTAACTGATTTGACAAATTCGAAACGCTTTCTAAAATTCGACTTTTGATATCAAATACATATTTAAAGTCTACACTAAGTAAATTCAGTGAAAGGATTTACTAATATTTATCCAACATGTCTGAGGGAATTCGAAAATAAATTTCACTGTTAAAAATTTACTTTTCATTAAAATTTCTTCTCTCAATTAATTCATACCGGAAATGGGACGGGGTATTTTTAATGAGGGATTTGTCAGAACGTGTATCTATATTGAGTATCGTCTCTAGAGATGTCCAAATATCGAAATTAGGGTTGAGAGAGTTGCATTTTACAAAACTATATCCCATGAACCATAAAAATTGCATTTCCGAAATTTGTTCGATATGTCTGAAAATATTCGGAGGTGACATTTATGCTCCAATGAGCTTTGTTTCCTTTCTAAATAAATGGATTTATTTATTAAAGGCCCTATTTTAAGAAAATGTAATCGATTGTTTACAAGAATTTAGTTTGCGACATTTATCCGATATGTCTGAAGAAATTCGAAAATAATTTTTCTGTCTTATAAATTCTGTTTTTTTAATGTCTATACTCAATGAATTTAATTTGGTTTCTAAATTTACAGAATGAAATTTTTTATGGATCATATTTTATAAAATATATTCGACATATTTTATAAAAAATAAAAAAAAAAAATCAGAAGTCCAATTTCCAACCCATATAAATGAGACAAAATAATCTCTTTTAGGAAATGTATTCGACATATCTGAAGATACTCGGAAGTTTATTAAGTTCTTCAAATTTAATTTGAAAAATTAAATATTTTAATAATAAATAAATAAATATTTTTAAATACATGTTTGTTGTAGAATGAAGCCAGGACAGTATAGAACAAATAAATTAATTTTTAAATGCATAATTATCACAAAAAAAATTTATTTTTGTCATATTTCGCAGAATGTATGCAATGTGCTACAAAAATAAAAATTTCGAAATTGACCCGACATGTCTGTAAATATTCGGATGTGAAATTTACGCTCCAAATAAATAAATTATTATCTATGAATCATATTTAAAAAAAGTGTATTCGATTTGTTATACAAAGTTATATTACGATATTAATCCGATATGTCTGTCAATAATCTGACGGCATTTTCCACTCTCATTAAATTAAGTATATTTGCTATTGCTATGTATGAATTATAAATTCTGCAAAATGTATCCAATGTATCAAAAATTCGAACTAAATTTATTCAAAAAATATCAGTTTTTTCCGTGGAAAGAAAATCTTCTAAAGCTTGGTAAATATAAACATCTAGATTTAAAAATTTTACTTACTTGTGAAATGCATAACGATATCGCTTATCATCGACCGGTACAAAATCCATCATCATAATATAGGTAGCCTGGGGATCTAGCCCTCCAATTCGCACCTGAAATGTGGGAAACATACGTCGACCCGATTTCGTGACAATCATTTCGGTGCCTTGTTCATGAAATTTATCCCAAAGAGTTTTGGTTTCCAATACCACAACAGCCTGGGCCAAAGAGGGATGGAGACTTTCTTCATCTTTGCCACTGCCGTTGTTGTTGACATTTGTTGTTCCGTCTTTTTTATTTTTATTAGCTGATGATGATGATTTTTTGTTGCTATTGTTATTATTGGTGTTGCTATTGTTATTGTTGTCATTGTTGTAGTGTGTATTTGTTGCTGTTGTATTGTTGACAGATTCATCCTTTCCACTGCACGAACTATTTGTGTCAATATCCGATAGTTTCGAATCAACACTTTCAAGTGGCTTATAACTGCTGCGATCTCTTCCGGCTGTTTGAATGCAGGCTGTGAAATAGAAAAGAGACAAGGGGAGAGAGGAAGAAATGTCATTAGTGGGTGTGAGAAATTAGGGTATATGTCGAAAAAACAAACATGAGAAGAGATTCAGGATATAAAAACTATTTCGGTAATAATTTTAAAAGTTGCTGCTTGGGAGTTTAGTTTGAATGTTTGGATTTTGGCTTGGTAAAAATATTTAATTTTAGATAATTTAAATATATCCTAACATTCCATAAAACCCCCCGAAAAAAATCTTTTTTGGCATGCAACATGTGTTCACTATGCATGCCACAAAATTGCCGACAGAAAATATGTTTGTCTTGCTCGATTTCAAAGCCATTGTTGTTTATGACCCATGACCCCACAATGGCAATACCACCATCATCAAAACTAATTGCTTGGCAATCGTCCGATCAATGGAATTTCTATAACAACAAAAAATAAAAGAGATAATCTCCACTCGTTGCGCATCTCCATTCGTTTAGGGTCTGAACATACTCGGGGAATCCTTGACAAAAATACAAAGAATTGTTGATTGTCTGGGGAAATCTTTTTTTGTGTTCTCTCTCCCAAGAATGTTGCTATGTTGTTGTTGTAATTAATGAATTCGAAAATCAATTAGTATTTGGCACAAATAATTGTTTTTCTGTCAAGTGTGACGGATCTTCTTCCCCAAAGTAACACCGAATCTCTTTCTTTGCTCATTGTCGTCTTCTTCTTTGGCCGCTTTTATTCTACATCAGAATTTTAAATAGAATTTAAATTTGTTGTAGTTGCAATAAAATATTCAAACACTTGCCAGATTATTGGAATGGGAAAATGTGAGCAAAATTAGGTCGAAATTCAAACAAGACCTTTCTTGTTTGAATGTTCCCTACATTGTTTATTTATTCTACAAAAATTGTGACCTAATTTTAACGGATTGCAACAAATTTTTTCTTTGATTAATTTAGGTCGTTCAATATTCTAAATATGATTTCGAATTAGATCACATAAATATTGAAAATATAACAAATGAAGTTGTGTTGCATTTTTTGTATAAACAAGAACATATGGTCATCCTCCTGAGCAGCGATAAAACTATATGGCAAGTCTGCAACAAATGCGATTATTTGTTTTTGTGAAGAGATACAATGTTTTGAAAATGGAATGGAGAACACAAAATATGCGACCATAAATCGGATTTTTTTTAGAATACCCTTTTATATATTGTGGTGTGTGGATGATGATAACTTTCACTTCAGAAAGTGTTTTATGAATAGATCATATTCCAATATTAATGGCTCCGATTATTTTTTCCGTGTGTTGAAGACCTCTAAGTCGTCATATGTAAAAGGGCGAGCTACAAAACAACACATTACAGAAAATAAAGGCTGAATATATAATTCTCATAAATTACCAATGGAACGCTTCACAAGAAATGAGGAGCAAAATCGAATAACCAGAAGCTCTTTCTTTAATGCACAAGATCACCAGATTGTCAGGAGCTTTTCTAATACTCTGTAGCAAAAAGAGTTCCGAAGGTCGAAGGTCTCCGGAAGCTTGTCTATTTGTAGGAGAACTCTACAAAGCCCTCAAAAAGGTCCTCATATATCCTTAGGTCTATAGATGCCCTTTTGTCGTGTTTCTGTCATTCCAAAACTCTAGGCAGATTCGTAGAAGATTTTGTATCCTTAGAAGAACTTTACACCTTTTCAGATGTTATAACAAACAAATATTTCAGTTGTTAAAAACCTTATTTGCTATTTGAAAATTCCATTTGAAATTCAAATTATTCTATTTAAAAATATAATTATTTCATTTCAAATTCAAATAATTTCATTTGGAATTCAAATTTTTATATTTAAAATGCATATTATTTTATTTGAAATTCAAAGGATTTCATTTGCAATTCAAATTATTCTATTAGGAATTCGATATTTTTTAATACATTTTGAATTACAATTGTAATAATTCGATTTATAAATAGAATAATGACTTTCAAATGAAATAATTTGAATTACAAACAAAATTCTCGAATTACAAATTAGATGTAATGATCACAATTGAAATACAAATTTATAATAATATTGAAATGTCTTGAATTTTCCGGCGGTCTTTTGTTTTTGCCCATAAAATATGATTAGATGTAGAGTTGGGTAGTTCCGGAACGAACTAGTTCATTGGAACTACTCCGAGAAAGGAAAGATTGGAACTAGTTCCAACTCTTTAATTAATATAGTTCCTTTTTCTGATCTCGTTCCTTTTTGGTATCGATCTTTATTTTTTTTCTGATCTCGTTCTTTTTTGAACTAAAATGAACTATAAAAAGCAAAGAGCAAAGGAACTATGAAGAGCTAAGGAACTATATGGAACTATATTGAACAAAGGAACTATATGGAGCAAAGGAACTATTCGGAGCAAAGGCACTATTTGGAGCAAAGGAACTATATGGAGTAAAGGAACTATATAGAGCAAAGGAACTATATGGAGCAATGGAACTATAAAGAGCAAAGGAACTATATGGATCAAAGGAACTATACGTAACAATGGAACTATTTGGATCAAAGGAACTATGTGGAGTAAAGGAACTATATGGAACAAAGGAACTACGTTAAGCAACTAGTTCCTTTTTAAAAAAGGAACGAGAAAGAGCGATCCGCTACGTGAAATAGATTACCCAACTCTAATTAGATGGTCTAGTGAAGACCTCAACAATATTTTAAGCTTATAGGACATGCATTGAAGATCTTCTGTTAACAGAATATTTATATGGTCCTTATGGATACATTTCGTTTATGGAAAATTAAAAGACATTAAAAGTATTCTGTCTCCAGAAGAAGTCTGGAAAATTTTGGAGTATAACAGTTTTCCTAAAGATGTGCACTCCAATGATGTGTCTATGAGGCATTTTTTTCTTTCTTTCTTCCTGTCAAAAATGTATTCTTTAAAGGGCCTTCCACATTTAGCACAGCTGAAAAAGTCCCTGCCCTACTACAGTGAAAAAAAGTTTTTGGATAATGCATTCCTTTAAAGGACTTGTTGAAAGACTTCCTTGCTTTAGCCTTGCTTTATTCGTTGTCACATATCGAATAGTTTAATACATTTGAGCATATCCAAACTGGGCTACGAATGGTCAAATATCCATAATTTGTATGATGGAAACATTAAAAATCATTGTGTGGATTTTCTTTTCAATATTTTCATCGGTGAAAACCTCGTTTTGCCATCCACTGACTTCAACGTCTTCGATACTAATTTTGTCACGTCTAAACTGTGTATGAAAATTCTCGATGAGCCAAATGTTGTGCTTCAACTGCTCTAGGATTGGACAATGTTATTCCTGTAGCGATTCCGTAAAATGAACTAGATCGTTCAATTAGTTCCATAGTTCAATCGTTCCATAGAACATTGGCAAATGTCAGTTAATTCGATAAATTAATCGAAATATGTAAATAACGTTGGATCAAAAGGAAGCAGGTGAGCAAAAAGAAAGGACTGAAACAAATGGAACTAGGTTAACAAAATAACGGACTTAGTACCGATCGTTCCGTTTGCGAAATAGTTATTTTGAACTACTAGTTCTTTGAACTAGGTATTCTGCATACTGAAACAGCGCGATATATTCGATATTAAAAAAAAATAAAAGTTGTTGTGCATTCATAATGTATGTCAATCCATGTAAATGCGAAGCCTAGAGACAATTCGTTGTAGATGTTCCTCAAGGCAAGTCCTTGAGGAACATCTCCAACAAATTTTTTCTATATTATTTCTTTATTTCCTTTCCGAAATTCTTCTCAAGAAATGTTTTCCTTCGCATTTCATAAAATATTAGTTGTTTTTAGTTTTTTGCTAAAAAGTAAAGATCACTCCCTTAATCCTTTCCCCCTTTTCCCAGCCCATCATCTCTAAAATATAAAAAATTAATAATAATCTCAAGCAATAAATGTATCAACACAAAATGTAATTGAATTTTATTTTTTGAAGCACTTAATTAGCAATTTATAGTCATATGCTGCAAGTGTTGAGTGACACCGTTGTGCCACCGACCGACGCCACAACCAACACACGTTTGTTTGGAGGGTTTTCGAATGTAGTCACGTCAATGAAAGGATAGATGGATGGATGATATCCATAAATAATCGTCGTGTAGTCTTCACTAGGTTTCTTCTTACGGGATGAAAATGCATGGATCATACATCGGGATAGAACAAGCAAACAAGTTGCATTCTAAGCTAAATTTAGATAACATAGGCACATGCTATAGTTCGAAATTTAACATCTCCAACAGATCAACCATCCAAACAATCCGATATACATTATTACCATATAGTACAGACAGTGGCTGTTTAATTTGTGTGTTTCTTTTGTTCTATCTTAAAGCTGATCCGTTGAAATATTCCTCCTCCATTGTCTGCCAACATCGAATTACGATTTGTATTCTTCGTATTCTTATTCGCTTTGTGGTTATTGTTCACACACACACACCAAATAATAAAAACATGTAACATGAACAACACAACACAACAAAAGACCCATGGCATGTGTTAAAGGGGGAGGAAGGGAGAATGGTTTTGGGGCCATGCAAGGCATCCCCCAAAGAACATGCGTCAAATTAATCAGCTATAAGATGTAAAACAAATATGAAATATGTTCGAAATATACGCCAGCCAGATATCTGTCTGCTGATTCGATTACATTGTGAATTTTATTTCATTCCACTTTTTTTTGGTTGTAAAATTTTGTGGGGTAACGTCACATCATAATTTTGTGGGGTAACAATGTATTGTCAGACCAATTTTTTTTCCAGACTGAAGGGAGGATGACTATGTGGTAGCTGAGGTCGGATATTAATTGTATATCCTTGAGAAACTACAAAATAAATACATATATGGATAATTTTGAATCAATAATTTCGGCCAAAGACGGATTTATATTGTCCATAGTTCAAAGGAACTATTCACACAGAAACGTAGAGTTGGTTCCTTCCGGAACGAATAGTTCAAAGGAACTATTCCGCAAAGGGAATGATCGGTACTAGGCCCCTTTTTTAATTCATCAACTTCCTTGTGCTCCAATCGCGCCTTTTTGGTCTCGTTCAATTTCTTTTGCTTCTATCGTTTAACTTGATTTCCCGTCCATTCGCCCAAATAAACTGACGTGTACCAAGAACATAAGGTAACTATGGAACTAAATGAACGACTTTTCTCGATGGGTCATTCTGGAAAGAACTAGTCCAAAGGAACGACCTAGTTCTTTTTGCGGATAAAACAGAAAAAAAATCGGACCTCATCAGGAACTAAAAAAAATGATCGGTACTAGGCCAGCTTCATTTTTTTTCTCTGTCCCTATTTGTTCTCGTCCATTTCCTTTTGATTCAATCGTTCGTCTAAAATGTTCCAAATTTATTGATGTGTACTAATGAACTATGGTACCTAATAAACGACCTAGTTCTTTTTGCGGATAAAACAGAAAAAATCGGACCGCATCAGGAAAGATATAAGAAAGATTGGAACAAAATGAGTGGCGCCCAATCTCGCAACGAGTTAAATATTTTGTAGCAGTGTTTGGATATAATAAAGGACAACTGATCCTAGTCGATGCTATATGTGATAATGGGCGGCAGTCATCCCAGTGGACTGGGCACAATGAACCCACTCTAAGGTGTACAAAACTTTAACAATCGGCTGTTGATATTATCCACTATTTCGCAAGTGAAAGCAGTACCATTGGACGTGAACGATTGAACTAAACGGAACTATGGAACTAATTGAACGACCTAGTTCTCTTTGCGGATAAAACCGAAAAAATCGGAACGCATTGGGAACAATATTAGAAAGATTGGAACAAAGTGAGTGGCGACGATTTGAATATTTGTAGCAGTGTTTGGATATAATAAAAAACAACATATCCTAGTCCATGCTATATGTGATAATGGGTGGCAGTCATCCCAGTGGACTGGGTACAATGAACCCGCTCTAAGGTTTAGAAAATTTTAACAATTTCACAAATAAAAGCAATGCCATGAATTAAGCTCCGAATTGCTTCCACATAAACGGACCTCTTTAAATATAGCCCGTAGAAACAATTTCTTCAGCGATCTTGAAGCGCAGATAGACAAAACTGAGACTTTTGTGAATAAAGTCTAATCCTATTATATAAATAAATATTGAAAAATTAGAGGGTCATTGAACCATACCAACTAACTGAACCCATATGTGTTGGGCGCCACTTGAAATTTCCCTAAATTTTTTTCGCTCATACGAAAATTATTACAGGAAATTTATTTTGAATGCAAAATTGCAAAACTTTGAAATGTTTAAACTTGTTTTGAATACGTGTCGGAATCCTCTTAAACTGATGATATTTTGGATATGGCGCCCAATTAAATTTCACCATTCAATACATATTTATATTTTGACTGATGATCTTTCTGGATATGGCGCCCAATCAAATGTCACCATTGAAAAAAATATTTAAAATAGGATTTAAAAAAATCCTTTCCATCATCCGTATTAAAGGGTTTAGGAAAATGTATCACCGTTTGTGATAGGCATGTGAGAATCTATGAATCATTTTCTACCAAAAAATTATATTTCAAAAAATTACCTTAATAATTATTTATTGTATTTTTTGTAATTTTAATTCCTTACGAAATCTCGGTCTTACCTTCAATTTGTTTCATTGGACTCAGAGTGCTCATATATGGCGATGACCAATGATCTGTCGTTGAATAGCAGCCATAATCCGTAATATTGGTTGTGAGGCCGCCAGCATTGTCCATAAATGGCATGCTGGACATAAGGGCACTGGAACATTCGGTGGGACCCATTAGATTGGTGTTAGTTGGCGGGCGCATATAGACAGTTTGATGCATAGCACTTTAGATTAGATTATTACGAGATCACTTTGTTTTTTCTAAATAAAGAATTTTATTTCAATTCACTAAAAATATATTTTTGGCAATTGTCCGAATTTGATTTTATAATCCGCAATTTGTTTAATTTTGATTTATTTAACACCTTGTTTGAATTTTATTTATTTTTTGCCAACTCATTAAAATATCAATCACTTTAAGTTCAATATTTGATCCATTCAAGTTGAGAACATGTCTCGCATGTCATCGCCGTTGTTCGATTAGTTGGGGAAGGTAGGTCGGAACAAATGTTGCAATTTATTCGTTGTTGTTTTTCTTTTTTGCTATTTTTTGACACTTTTACTTTTGTTCGAACAACAGCAACAATCAAATGTGATTAGGCGTGATCAACGAATTAATTAAACTTTCAACGCGGTGTATAATATGAAAACAGGTCCATGTGTGTGATAGGCAGGCCACTAGACAGGTTATCATCAACACATCACTATTTTGGTGGTTTGGTGGGAACACGCGATATACACACGGCCAGCATCGACGGACGCTGATGATGATGACGGACTATTGTTTGTTGGCTGATTTGTTGTGAATTGACAATCGACAAAGACGTCAAGTACAATTTGCATTTTTTTTTCAAAATTCCGTTTTTTTTATTCGCCGTTCATTCATTCACTCATTGCTTCGAGTAGTTAAAGTGCGAAGTGATCCGTAAGCGTGGCACCGATCAACGAATATTATCTTTTTAATGACACGGAGTGTGAAGATTTCCTTCTTCTTTATACAAACCGAGAGCAGAAGAAGAAAATGTGGATGCGCGATGCAAAGTGGTGATACCGATACGTTACGATCGAGCAGTTTTCTTGTTTGCTTGTTGTCTTTGTAACGGGTTAGACTAAAATAAACAGACTGTTGTTGGCAGAGGCTGGCTGAATACTTCTTGAGATCGAACGTCCCGTCTATCAGATGGATGTTCCTTAAGACGACAACAACAACAGGGTGCAGATCATCAACAGAGCAGCATCATCATTGTAGCACACCATACGGCTGAGTTTTGTCGCAGCAGCGTAAGACAAACATTTTCTACTCAAAATGTAGATCGTTTGGGTGGGTTCGACCAATAGCCAGGCACTTCACAAAGTGTGAATGAGTGGAGCAAAGAATATGCCTGTGGCTACGCAAACATGTGTTGGTGTGTGAAGATCAACATCATCCGCACATACATCCATCCAACCACTTGAGTAAATTGAGTGTGAAATGAATGTATGAGAATGAAATTGTTGTTGTTGTTTTCACAAGATCAACAATTGACTCATTCTTGCTCATGGCATTTGAATACCGAAAACGAAATGAAATGGATATATACGCGACTCTGATTGGTCGGAATGTTGGATACTGTTTTCATTACTCATTTTTGAGTGTTTATTGAAAAGGGCATTTTATTCAATGATTTCGCTGACGACGGATTAAATTGTAAATTGTTACAACTATTAACGATTGTGTTTAAAACTTCGTTACTAACCTATCGCACCATAAAAAACGATGAAGAACAAATGATGGGAATTACTAATTAATTGTAACTACAGCTCAATAACAAATCAATTGTGAATATTTAGATAAACCGATATAGAATGTTTCACAGTTCCTCTTAGATTGACATCTGTTTAAAGTATGAGTAACACTTGCCTATAGGAACTGAGACTGTTGCAGTAAACAACTATCACTTCTTTTGTAGTTTCTTCAATAAAAAATAAATTAATAAATTTCTATTTCGGCGACATAACTATGACATTGGTGTATGTATGTAGGTACCAATGATTCCTATAAAAGTACTATTTCTATAACATATTCTGAACCCCAGCCGTTACGGTGGTTCTCATAATATTTTCTGAAACTAGTGTCGGATAACTACACTCAGGTGAAAGTAGCAAATTAAAAATAAGATCGAGCAAACTTTAATCTATAATGTTCAATGTAACAGAGAAATGACATTAAAATTCATTAAATTAATTATGTTCAATTTTAAAATAATATTGCTTCCACTAATAGAATTGTGATGCAACAACATTGATTTATAGTTGAAAAATATTATTTTACGTTGACATTTAAGTTGGTCAATATTAAATTAAGATTGTTTCTATCAATTTCGTGGATTTTTTTTTTTGAATCAACATTAAATCCACCTTAAATTAAGAACGTACGTTGTTAGGCAGCATTTTATTTTTTCAGGGGTTTGTGAAAATTCGAGTTTTGTGGACACTTAGAAAAATGTCAATGAAATTAAATCAATAATGAGAAATTAAAGCTGAAAACATGGTCGTCCCGAAAAATGTGTGTGCGCTTAGCATAAGTACTGAAGCCGTTGTAAGTTTTGTGGATACAAGTAAAAAAGCGTCAGTCGGTGTTGCCGACAGATATTGGAATCATAAATGTTGCAAATATTGTCCTTCTTGGGGGGAGGTACCAGGAGGAGTGGACTAATGGGTCCAATCTTCCTACTTCATAGGTTGTACAAAGTTTCGTTAAAATGGGATAGTCCGTTTGCATGTTATTATAAAATTAATTTTTAGCACAATTTTGACTATTTTGTGGGGAAAGTACCAGAAGGATTGGACCTATATTCCCAATCTTCGAACTTAAACAAAGTTTGGAAGAAATTCGATTACTCCCTTCGAGAGGACGGATAACGGACGGACGAACATGCGTAAATCGACTCCAAATTTTCTGCGGATTTTTATTCCGAGCTTGGGCAATACTTCGTGATAGTTGCAACCTCTTGCCCGATTAAAGTTCAACAGCACCGCTTCCTTACACTGACATATTTTTTGAATATAACTAATACTCATTACATCCCTTCTAATTACTTATCCAGATTCCAGATGTGCGGCTTTCAAATGTTGCCTATAGATCGACTCGAAAAAACACAAAAAATTAAGCTTTCGGTCCACTTCATCCCAATATTATTATTCGATCATCACCGTTGTCCTTGACCACAACTGGAATCTCATAGAAAATTTCAAAGCAGTAAATAAATATTTAAGTGTAACTCCCACATCCGAGTACAAACGACCATAAAATTGGTATCAATTTAAAGGTCAACCCCTCCTCTTGGATAACCTATCAACTTCTCGGGTCTATGTCCTTCAGGCTTAAATAAATACGCCATAAAACACAATTTTTGTCATTTTTCATACAAAAGTCAGCGTCCATGTGGCCTGTATCGTGTTTACAAATTATAATGGACAGACGGACGGACACACATGTCTAGATCGACACAGCTAGTCGAGATCAGTATTTCGCGGCGTTACAAACTCTTGGGGCTGCACAAAGCAATAATACCCCGACAACATAGTTGTGTAGGGTATAATAAAAATGTATTTTTTTTTTAAATTTTCTTTTTATATTATTAGTTTCTTTTACATATGTAATCAATTTGTCATTGCGTTAAGTTTAGGCCAATACAAACGTTTGTGGTTGACCGAACGATGAAATAGTTCGGATAGCTGAAGAAAATAGTTCGGATAGCTGAAATAGCTGATAGCTGACTGAACTAGTACACTTGTTCTTTCAACTGAATCGTCCATCTGAACTCGCGAACTATACATCTTTATATTCAAAGTTATTGCCGTATGTTTCAACCGAAGGTAAGAGTGAAATGGCATGTAAGGGAAATCCTTCAAGAAGACATTAGGTATATATACAGAGCCCACTTAATTTTAGACCCTTTGAACGTCCAAAACGCATTTCTAACCCAAGTGACTGTAATTTGGGTTCTCGAAACATGAATTGCTTTCTGATGAAAAATATTCGATATAGGTTTATAGTTTGGCATATTTCCCATATAGCCGTCCCGTCCCATTGAATGTTATATTAGCTTTAATTTTGTGAAAGATATAAAAAGTACGGCCCGGACGAACTTAAGGCACGTTTTCATATTTCTAACATTTCCTTTTTGGGATCGTAATATGTATACATTTCCCATTTAATTGACGTAATTTGAATATAGTATATAAAAATGTACGTATATAAAAATTAGCGTATGAATATACACCGGTGCCCAAAACTAGCGTCTATAAACACAATTTACAGAAAATGTGATGTCTTGAATTAGTGATGTGTTGAATTATAAGTTGTTTTTGTGTATCTAGAGTTCTTCAGTAGTAACAGTTCATCACGGAGGATGGCTGCAAAAGAACAGCAATTTCTACCAACCAACAAATTGTCAGAGAAGGGAAAAAACACCCATTTAGGAGTTCAACGGAGTTGGTGAGAGAATTATCGTTGGATATAGACTCAGGAACAGATCGTAGACGAGCTGTGATTACAGGTCTACATACCCGGAAACCGTCAAGAAAGCCATTTATTTCCTGAAAATGTTTGGAAAACCATACTGACGTTTATGAAGGCTTATATCAATACGGTATTTGGTATTGAAAATGGTACGGTATATAAAAGGCTCGATTTTCAATCAGTGTTTGTGGTTCATCTTCATACCAATAAAAATAAGTCCACTTTTAATTTGGATGAAGTTGAGACAATAGCTTCCAATTTAATCATTAGCATGCCATGTTAGTAAATTGTTAACGACAATTTCCAACGACAATTTTTATGTTATTGGCAATAACTCTTAAGTTTATTAAAGCTTACAAAATTCTGGGCAGAGGATCTATCAAGGTGCCAAACCATTAAAACATCCCTGGCACAGTATGACACTAGGTTTTGACACATTTTTTTACAATAAAATTATATTTATTAGTTTTATTTATATACGAAATTTTTAACGATTATCTCAAAATAAGTAGAGTAACTTCGGGTAATGTGGACTATGCGTCTAATGTGCCCCACCACCCAAATCTAAGAAAATGCTTGAAATATGTCAATGCCGCCTTGATAAACGGTTTCCTAATTAGTGAAAACAAAAATCAAACTTGTTTTTTGATAAGTAATTGCAATGTTGAAAATGTAGTAGTAAAAAATGTAGCTCTGATTGTAATAGTGTGATTTGAACA